CTTTTGGATATTAATGGGGCTAAAAGGTTTTCCTTGGAACAATTCTTCAAAATTAGGTGTGGTCTGGTGGCTTGCAAATATATATAAATGACAGTGTAATTGGTGCAAAAGACATGAAAATTTCCAATTTTGGGTGTTTTCTGTGCAAATCAGGTGTCACAAAGGGTGCATTCTGAAATCAAATGGTACTTTTTTTTTCATGGAATCCTCCATAAGAATCAGTAGTGGTGTAGTGGCTTTCAACTATAAATGACAGGGAAATTGGTACAAAAAACGTGAAAATTGCCAATTTTGGGTGTTTTGTATGCAAATAAGGGGTCAAAAATGAACCCACCAAATGACTTTTTCCAAGCAGAAAATTTAGCCCCATTCATTTTCAAAAGGCACCTTTTTTGACCCCTTGTTTGCATAAAAAAACACCCAAAATCTGGGCTGAATTTTCTGCTTGGAAAAATTTATCAAGATTAGGTGTAATTTTGCCTATTTTGGGCCAAAATAGGCAATTTCCACATCTTTTGCACCTATTTCACTCTCATTTTTGGTTTCAAGCCACCACATCACCAGTTATCAAGGAAACTCAACAAAAGAAGAAGAAAAAACTGCTATCTGATAACTGCTACACACTTCTGAAACCACTATACTCATGGGGGAAGTACCTTATTTTTGTAGTGGTAGTGCCAAAAATGGGCCACTACACTACAGGCCCACTTGGTGTTAGCATAGTGGCGCTAACATAGGCATTTTTTGTGTAGTGCTAGTGCACCACTACTGTCACTACACTACACTACTTTGTAGTGGTGCTAACAGTGGTTTTTTGTGTAGTGTTAGTGTGCTGCTACCAGCGCCAATGCTGTGTTACACTATACTACAGCAGCACTTTGACCGCAAGAAAGGCCAAAAATCCTCTAAGAATCACTGCAACATGGTTAGTGGGTGCGTAGAGTTAGCACAACTCCAAATCTCTGCGCTAATGCTATGCAAACAGTTAGCGCACTTTTGTGGCCTTTGCACATAGTGTTAGTGCAAAAATGTGGAATTGTGCTAACACTATGCTAAAAATCAGTGTATTTTCACTATGCTACGGTTAGCGTAGCTGACCCACCGTTAAGGTAGTGCAGCAACAGTGAAACAGATACAATCAGAAATTTTTGTATTGTATCTTTTTTGTGATACTTAAAAAAATTGTATTGTGCATTGTATCTGAAATCAGATACAATAAATTTGTATTTTATCAAGAAACTATTACATATTTTTTGGGCCGTTTTAGTCTGTTTTCCAAAAAAAAAAAAGATTGAAAAATACACAAAGATACACCATAGTACTTTCTTGTATTGGGCTCTATTTGTGACTAGATACAAGTCTTTTGATGCATTTGCATTGTATCTGTTTTCCAATACAATACAGATACAATGTGTTTGGAGAAAAACCAATACAGATACATGTATTTTATTTGTTGAGTGTAGCATAATGCAGCATAGTGGGACTAACAGTGAGCACCCTAACACTACAGGGTTGGTGGGCTGCTTTGAGTGTTGGATATGCTTATAGCCAGGCTGTATGCTTCTATCAAAACATAGCGTGTATATAGTCATGACTGTCTCTCATCCAAGATAGCTTCCTCACTGAATCTAATCCATATTATCTTCATGCCCAGTCACTGTCACAAGACCTAGCATCTGTGACTTTCAGTCTCCTTATAGCCTGGTCCACCTCAACATTGAGGGCTGCTAAACTAAAATTCATAGACTGTTTAACATAGTTTAGCATAGCATTAGCAGCCAGCCTAGCAGGGGTGCTCTCCAGAATTTTTTGTATCTTTTTCTTGTGTGCTCATGGATCATCCCATTCAAAAGGACAAGCTTTCCTAGTTGTATGAATGCAAGTGGTGTTGGAGCTCACACAAGCTGGCCCATCTAGCATCATTCAAATTGCAGGACTAATGAGTTGGAATTTTGTCCTGAGTAGGACAATATCAGATACTCCTAAATCCTGTAGTCATAGTACCCTGATTTATAGTTGCATCATCTTGGAATCATTGTCATCTTAGGACACATTCAACGCAAAACAACTCAAGCTGTTGATTCAAATCAAAGACTTCTTCACTCTTGGTAATATAGTTTATCATGCTCAAAATGAGGTGGGTTGGCAGCTTTCCAAGCCATCCCTAACCTTTTTCCTGTCCAATATGCCTGACCACAACTTATCTGCTGTTTGAAATCCAGGGCAGAGATATTGTTGCTACCCTATTGAACACTACAATTCAGGCTCAAAGAATTCCAGAGGTGGTGTACCACAATGAGTATTTGCAGGTATTCAAATTCCAAATGCTCAATCTAACCCACTGTGACCAACCTAAACGAGCTTACTCATATAGGTTGCAATCTGCACTCAATCCTCAACCTCAGGGCACCATGAAAAATTTGAGGGCAGTAAATGTCAGGTGACATGAAGCTAACTCCTGCCTGTATTCCAGTGTTACTTCAAAGTCAAAGGGTTGGGACTCCCTGATGACCACAAAGGGAAAATTGTTATTTGAGCAGACAAGCACCAGAGTAACAATGGAGTTGTAAAATATGTCACTTCATGTCACCTGACACCTACTGCCTTCAGATATTTCCTGGTGGGGTCAACTTAACCCATTCTCACCTCAAATTACACTGCTCAGGGGTCACACACTTACGCCCCTCTTGAGCCTGTTGCACTTTCATCAGGAGTCTTATTCACAACAAGGTTACCACAGCTTTACACTAAATCTGGTGTACATTATTTGTGGTAATCCAGAAAACCATTAGATATTCAACTTGGTGGAAACTGGGCACTCAATTCTGCCCAGGTATGCTATACCAAGAGAACCTCATACATCAATACCCAATCTGTAATGTGGTTTCATGAGGAAAATGGACATGCTTTTTTGATTGGGTTGGATTGGTAGGAGTGGTATTATAACGTATCGAATCGATTGAGCAGTATCCGACAAACAAGAGATAAATGCTTAAAACTTCTTGGCAACGGCATTAGTACCATGAAAGAAATCAGCAAAACTGTAAGCTTGATCTTCAAGAATTGGCTCATCAGCCACCTCCTTGCTTTGATCAGCGTCTTCCATCGTCATCACTTCGTCTTGTTCGATCACCGCAGTTTTCGACTTGGCGAGCTTCTTGCGTTCCTTACGGGCCTGCTTGGCGATCAACTTGTTTTCCCCAATCGGCGCGGAGATGCCCATGCGTTCCAATTGGCTTGCCTTCGTACTACCACTACTGCTAGCCGCCACTGCTTCCGTTGATGTTGTTGTTGCGAAGTTAACTTGCTTGGATTTCTTCTTGGGTGCTAATGAGACGACTTCTGGCCCTGAAGGTTCTCTTTTACTTGATTTGACCGGTCCTTCATTATCCCTGGGAAGAAAAGAGTATTAAGCTGAGTGATCAGGAGTTCAATTGATCAGAACTTTACACTCACATTTCAATGTCCTCGGCGGACTCTCCCAGCAGCTTTAATTCTCCATTACCCGGCTTCTCGGGCTCGGAGCAAGTCATACGAACGGCGGGCCGAACAACGCTGTCTAGAGGCTCCGCTTGGCCAAGAACATCCCGATCAGCATCGGCAAAGAGGGCATCCAGATTGAATTCAGCACCCAATTCATTCAGTATTGTAGAAGTGCCAAGATCGTTCGTATTCGTTGATGTTTTCGATTTTTCTTCGCCTTTGGGCAATGGCGGGGGAACAGTGTAATAGGGTATCCGGCCGGTATTCCAATCTTGAAGGATCGCTCTGGCGCAACCTTGTAGGTCGAGTATTCCACCTTTCTTAACTCGTCCACGACTCCGGGAGACTTGAATCAAGAACTCTTTCAGCTTCTCATCATCGGATTGGCCAGGATAGGTGAAGGCGGGGATGTTGTAGAGTAACATAAGATGCTCGATCTTGCACCTCTTCAGGATCACACCCACCGGGGCGAGTGGATCGAGAATCTGTTCGACTTTCACTGCGTTTCTGAGGATGTGAGCAGCCGCAGTCTCATCGTTTGTCGTATCAATCGATAGAACCACCCCTGGACAGTCGAGAACTTTGAGACCTTTTTCAAGGACGATCTCCTGTACCTCCTTGGTGAATCCAGGCGTTGGTGCAACGCCACATACCCGGCTTCGTTTGAGAGTGTTGATCAGTGATGATTTGCCAACGTTTGGGAAACCGATGATACCAACGGTGATGGACGCAAGAGATTTGACGCCTTGAACGGTGGAGGAGGGCCGACTGGGGTCAACAACTGTCGTTCGCCTGGCGTAGTTCTTCAAGAGTTGCATCAAAGGCTGGATCGAACAAGCATTGGCAGAAGATGAATTTTCTCGTCCAGTGGCCTGGAAGCCCTTGGAAGACAGGTTATTCCGTTGAGACTGAGTAGAGCTTTTGAAAGGTAGAGTCGGCCAAGATCGTCGGAGGTATGCCAGCCAACTGTCGACGTTCTGCTTGGGTACTAGATCGACCTTATTCAATACCAACAAGACCTTCTTCCCCTGCTGTACCGCGTCCCGCTCCAACTGAAGACTACGGGTTCCTAGTGGATCACGAGCATCTAGGACTTCGATCAGGACATCGGATAAGGCGAGTACTTTCTGAAGCGATTTGGCGTGTGCTCTGATTGAGGAGGTGGTTAGAGCGGGATCATCTGGAAGGTCTTGATCCTCTTGGTCGAGTGGTTGGTCCAAGTCCATGGAAGGGTCGTTATCTATGAGCTCTGCTAGAGCGGATGCACTGGCAGCAGCACTGGTTGAGGCATTCTGTCTGAGTGCTTGTCTTTCCTCGGCGTGCTTGATGATCGATCCAAGATGAAGATATCAGAAGTCAGTGCACGTTTTACGAATCTGGCAGGATGGAAAATTTACCTGTAGTTTGGCTTGTTGCTGCTCTGCCAGCAATTGATCTTTGAAAGGAAATAAGGCCGGTATTCCGATGTCTTTCTTGACTCCTGTTCAAGGAAAATGAAACCAAAGACAAGGGGTTTAGTAAATCAAATCCCTTTTTTTTTGCTGCGCTCGCTTATGGGGTTTTTTTTGAGGGAGACTCAACTAGATTTCCAAGTGACATCCTTTTTCGAGTTTTTCTTAGCTTTCTTGTGTGCTTCTTTAACCTTGTGTTTGATTTTTTCTTTCATCCTGGTTGTCGATCTCTTTGAGGTTTCTGAAACAAGTTGAAATTGATAGGAAGATCAGTTGTAGGCTATCGAAATATGTCGTACTGATATGACTGACTTTTCCTGATCTTTGGCATTTCGTTTTTGGAGTTGGTTCTTGTTGTCCTTTTTTTTTTTTTCTTTTGTTGTAGTCTCTTGAAATTTGGTTGGTGTGCGCTGGGAGTGCAGTCCTCGGTATAAGCATATGTTTTGCTGCGATATGCTTCAACCAGGTTACTCTAACCCTAACCCTCCCCCACGCTCTTTGCATACTCGAGGATGTATGCATCTAGCCCCTCTCCGCTCCGGTTCGGATATCCTGTCACAGCTTATCATGCTGGTCTCAGTCTGCACAGCCAAACGACAACTCCACCAGCAACCACCACCCCCCTCAAATCAACTCAGCCTTCATCACCACTAAAACTCCCGTAAGCCATCACTCATTGTCCCCAGCATTTCTTCTTCCGTTCACTCAAACCAAACTAAAATCCCCCTGTGAATTGACCTCGACCCCATCAAAACTCAACCAGTTCCACGCTTCAAAATGATCATCTTCACCGACGCTATCACCGGCGATGAGCTCTGCTCGGATGCTTTCAACGTATGTCACACACCACCCACTATATCCTCTCCCTTTTTTTCTCATGTGCTACCCCGCTTGGTTTGGGGTCTCATCAATTTTTTTTTTACTTCAATGCAGATGCTGCCCATGGGTGCTTTGGTCGAAGTTAACTGTGAAAACGTAACGATCAAGGAAGGTGAAGTCGACATTGGGGCCAATGCTTCAGCAGAGGAACAATCCGAAGCACTAGAGGATGGAGCCAAGACCGTTAGTCATTCTGGAATTGATTCTCACAAGAAAAAGCAGAAAGTGGTGGCAGAAAAAAGCAGTCTGATCTGATCACATACTCTCTCTCTCTCTCTCTCTCTCAGGTCAACAACTTGGTCCACACTTTCAGATTACAAGCCACCTCGTTTGACAAAAAGTCTTACATGACCTACCTGAAAGGTTACATGAAGGCCGTCAAGACTCATCTGGCTGAGACCAATCCCGAGCGGGTGGAGGCTTTTGAGAAGGAGGCACAGGAGGCTGCCAAGAAGATCATTGCTAACTTCAAGGATTACGAGTTTTACGTTGGTGAGAGCATGAATCCAGAAGGGTCAGTTCACATTCGAAAACAAAACCTTGCCCCCTCCCGCTTGATCTATCATCTTCCGCCCGATTCACTTGACTCTGTCTGACACTTCATTCGCTCCTTGATTGATCTTAGAATGGTCGCTCTGTTGAATTACCGAGAGGATGGTATCCAGGCTTATTTCAGCTTGTAAGTGATCCTCATCGGACTCTGAACTTAGGGATTTCCTCTGACCTTTTACGTCACCAATTCCGACTCCTACAGCTGGTCAGACGGCCTCAAGTCAGTCAAGGTCTAAGTATTCCTCCAGGCCCGAGCACTGTCCCCCGAATGCGATCTCCTCGTTCAATTTTCTTTTCAACACATGCAAGCTTGGTTTTTGTTTATCTCTCATCATGGGTGTATCTACCAACTTCAAATATTCAATCCTGGCCCTCGTAGACAAAAGAAATAAACCAGCTATTGGTTTCTGGAACTAGACCTCTCGTCCTTCGCCTGCATGTTTTTCCCCGGATTCCTATTGGTTAGAGAATTAATATTGAATGTGACGACGCACCAGTGAATTGGCCGCTCCTTGGAATGCAGTAATACTCTTAGATGACCGGTCATAATATGTGATGTGTGTGATCCCCCAAGGTTCCATGATTATCACTAGTTGAGGTGGATGCGTGAACTTTTGGGAGAAAATATCTACATACTGGATGATTCATTGATCAAACAACTCCGTTACCATTGACCGACAAGGTCACATCGTTCCTTGCCTATTATAAGCCGAGAAAAGCATCTGCTACCGGAGTTCTTCCTTGAAGTTTCCCCCCTTCCCTCGTGCTCACAAACTTAACTCAATTACAAGACTTTGGAATGAAGACTTGATTCCACTGCGACCGACTTGCCCGTCAAACGCTTCACTCTCTGGTCCATTTATTCAGTTGACGACGAGTGTTCGTTTATTTTGCTTTGCAATTTTGAGAGGAGAGGCAGTGCAGAGACATTACATGTGTAAAATAGATAATTAAGAGGCTCGCATGGTTAGTTAGCTGTTAACGACAGAGAATTAAGGGGTCGTGGTATCGGTTTGATTGATCGATTGAAGGTTATGTATGAAAGTCTCAAACCCGAACAGAAGGACATTGAATTACGAGTTGGTGTTAAGTTCTCTAGATATAGACAGTCTCTATGTGATGATGATGATGGTCATGAGTTGCAGAGGAGGACATTTCGAATTCTTCGACCTGGAGAGGGATCAGCTGCTGATAATGATGATGGTATGGACGAGGATTCAAGCGATTCGACTGGGAACTGTTCGAGCTTCCTGAGACGTGTTGGTGGTTGTTATATCCTTGCAGGCCGTTGTTGGTCGGGTTGATCGAAGGAAAGCTCGACGACCAGGCTTCCGATATCATTTGTCTGAGGGGTGGGCCCAAGCAGGTTGAAAGTACTAGAAGAATTTTCATCGAATGTTTGTATTTTTTTTAAAAAAAAAAGGGAGAGAACAGTCATCGAGAATTAAACTTGCATTCAATACTTCCATGGATTTATTATCATATTCAAAGAGTCTGTTTTTTTTGAATGGGAAATGAGATAAAAGAGAAAAAAGAAGGAAGAGGGGGGTTTACTGAGGAAGGCAATCCAAGAGATGAAAAGGATGGCGACAAGGATGATGAATATTTTGAGTGATCTGTCCATCTGGGTAGCAGTCCTGAGTTGGTTTGGGAGTTTCGTATATTAAGTTGTTTGAGTCGTTTGGGGTTGGTGGTGGGGGAGATGGTTCAGGACTGCCATCCAAGGGTGCAGCTTGTCCATCATCCATTCTCTCAGCCGGCTGAGGCAAGGGAGTCCAAGTCACATTACCCTATCCAAGTCAAACTATATTTACCTTTTCTGTTTGAGTTTAATGAAGCTCAAGTGGGAAGTGCAATTTACGTAATTTAAACAGCCATAAATCCTGCCACTCTCAATCACCAAGATACTTGCAATACATGTACTCCTCAATCTCAAGGGTTACCGCCTATGAGAGTAGGCTAAATATAATCTGTGCTGTGTAAATATCCAAGCCAGAGATCAGTCATGACAAAGTGGATGATTGCAGGAGCTGGTCATCAGTCTGAAAGGATCTATCAACTGATCATGAGGAACCACTCTTAAAGAGCTCTTGATAAAAAAAATAATATGTTGTAACAGTTGGCTTGGAGCCAATTGGCATTTATCATTTTGTTGTTCTATGTACTCCAGTCCCTTCAAAAAGCCAGCCTTGATTGGTTGTTCCTGTGCTACTTGAGTGAGGCTACAAACTTGTTATGAACAAGCATACCTGATTCACCAAAAAAACAGAGAAAAAAATCCCATGTGTGTGAAGGCAGAAACAAAGTATAGTGTTTGATAGAACTTTCAGAGCCACAACCAGAAACTAATTAGTGATCTTCTTAAGTATTTTTAATTGAATACAATGTTTAATCTCAAAGAGAAAAAAAAGTTGACATTAAGAAATTAGACAATATATTGTAGAAGGATAGATCTGATGACATTAAAGGAAAATGCAAAAAGATGATGATGTATGTATATGTACACATCAATCAAAAACAAACGAAGAAAAGAAACAAGGCATCATCAGTATAACATACGCACGATCATAACAGGGGCAGAACAATAACAACAACAAAACTATTTATTTACACGAACCAAATGATGTAATGAGGTTCAGAATAAAAAAAAAAAAAGAGGTCGATTCATAAGAAAAAGAAGAGGAAAACAAGATTAATAAAAAGAAGTATGCATTAGAAATCGAGAAGAAGAGAAATAAGGAAGAAGAAACTGAATAATGAGTTGACAGATCCGATTTCATCTATCCGATTGAAAAAAAGAGCAGAAGTTCAGAAAGTGAGAGGAAGTCGAGGAAGCACTTGTTTGTATCTATCTATCTATAAACTGTTGATTGATTGACCGGTTGTGGCTGAGTAGTGAAGAAAGGAAACGATCGGGCTTGAGGTGTTGATTCACGAGTAATAATCCGATCGATCCGACAGAACACGAGGGAGAAAGATGTAGAGAGAGAGAGAGAGAGAGGAAGAAACAAAGAGAACGAAAAAAAAAGAAAAGGGAAGGGAACGTTGAAAAAGGAAGCTCATTCTTCGCCGTCGGTGTTAGTAGTCGTAGAGGCGTCCACGTCAGGTCTGGACGACTCGTCCTCCTCAGGAGGCCCAGCCAGGTGATGTTTCTGTAGCTCCTCGAGCGGCTGGTGATGGGCCAGCTTGAGACCCTCGAGCTCTTCGAGCACCGAATGCTCCTCGCCGTCTTCGATTGGTTTGGGGTGGACGACTTCGGCGGCGGGATCGATGTGCTCTCCTAGACTGGGATCGGCAGCCCGATCGGCCGAGTTTGTCGCTGACTCATCAGATTCAGGACTCGCCTCGCTCTTCGCAGCTCTCGCCTCTGAGTCCTCATCGGCTGCCTGTCCGATATCCACTGCATCAGCCCGGTTGGTCTCCTCAGCCGAACTTGGCGGAACATCTTCTGGCCCGTTGGTGTCCTCTACTAAGCTTGTGACAGGATCTCGAGTCGCGCTTTCAGTGGCTTTGGATTCCTCGTTCGGTGCAGTATCAGTGGCGGACTGAGTGGCAGTTCTCTTCTTGAAAGAAGTCGGGAGATGCGATGCGTATGCCGTTTTCTTGGCTGCCTTGTTGGGTGCTTGATCCGCTGAGCTTTCCGGAAAGGACACGCCGGGCAACTTGGGGGATTTTTTGACGCTCGAAGATGTTTTGACGGGGGCAATACGGGTCTTAGCTTTGGGAGTACTCAAATCGGGTGATCGGGTCGTCCCACTCGTCCCGGTGACCGTCAGCTTGGGGCTAGCCACACTTGATACCACCCGAGCTGTAGAAGGCTGAGCGGCAGTAGATTTGAGACTGGGTGACTTTTTGATACCAGAGATCGGGGTGGCCACACTGGCGACCCGAGAGCGTTGCAGGGGTCGTTTGTCTGGCTTGATGGTCGAACCGGTTGGATTGGCAGTTGGTTCCGACTTGATCGGCTTGGTTGATTTCTGTGGATCGGCTGAGATGACTCGTCTGGTGACCTTGACGGGCGGGGTGGGAGAATTAGGAGTGGTTTTCGGGTTGGCTGTTGGAGTAGTGCCAAAGCTGGGCAGAGGGGGGACCTTTGTCTTGGCGATCACCGCTTTCTTGAAAGCGGTCGAAGGGGCTGGTGTCGAGGCCCTGATGCTCTCCATCCGGGGACGCTCCTTGGGGGTGCCCACGCTGGTCACTCGGACGTCTCGAAGATGAGCGGGATCGGAGTCCTTTCTGGCAGGCTTTGCGGCAGCTGGACGGCCTGGTGAGTTGGCTGTCTTTGGGATTCTCGGGGCAGTTGCGGTCTTTGGCAGATTGTTGGAACCAAGGGCCCCAGCGGAAGTGTTGGTTGACTGACTTCTGGTGGCAGAGCCGTTGGGTTGAGATGAGGAACGAGCTGCATCAGATGCTCTGACCTTGGCCAAGGAGGCGGCGGTTGGGGCGGTGATGTTAGTCTGTTTGCGGGAACGAACGACTTGACGGACCTCGGATGAGATGGTTGCTTTGAGTTTAGGGCGGGGTGAGGTTGTTGATGAGGTTTGTTTGTTGGTACTGGTGCTGGTTGGAGGTGTCTGGACGGCCAGATCGGCTTGGGATAGGTCGGCCAGCCTGGAGAGATCGGGAGACTGGTGGATGGGTGGGGTGAGGGGCAAGTCGAGGTTGGAAGGAATCGTAGGCTCAGACTTGTTGTCCATCATTGGTTGTGGGGAAGAGTAGGTGTTGATGACATCAGGGCTGCAGTTAGGGGTTCCAGCAGTCTGATGATGATTGGCTTGGTCTGTTTCAGATCGAGGGGTGCCACTAGATTTCGAGAGCAGACTGCTGGCTGGAGGGGTCCAGGTGACCTGACTGACCGAGAGTGGTGCTCCACCACTCCCGACGCTCCATGACCTGCGATTCTGGGCGATCTCCTCTGGGTCCCGACTCAGCCGTGGTTTAGGCAGCGGCAGGGCTGGTTGGCCATCAAGATTGTCGATGGTCTGTTGAAAACGTTTGATGATAGAGGAAGCCTTTGGAGCAGGAGTCTCGATTGGCAATGGCCTGTGAAGGGGAGAGAGAGAGAGAGAGAGTCAGTACCCTGTACATCTCAGCCCATGATCACGAAGAGAGACAGACTGACATGTTTGATCGATGGATGTTCTAGTCGGCGAACTGGTTAAGAGCACGCAAGATCTTCTTTGGGAGTAAGCAAGGACGAAGGAAAACTAGGATATTGGGCAAGGGATAGCTTGGAAAGGCTTGATCAAAGGAGGCTGCTGGTTGGAGCTTGGCAGGTTCAACAGTAAAATTAACTTCTTGTAATCCGAATACACCCCACCAACCGACGCCAGCTACGTCAAAATTAAGAATTCACAAACTAACTTTCATTGGAGAAATAGCCACATCCCAACCAACTCCAGCTCCAACTCCGGCCACGTAATTAACCCACACGGTGGTTGTTCAAACCTCCCCTGTTCAATGAACTGTTCATATCAATTATTTTCATGAAATAGTTAGGAAACAAAAAAAGCATAACTCCATAAAAAAGAGTCCTCAAAGGTCATCCTGTGAGTTATAAGCCTCTGCAAGGCCATACATAAATTTACATCCTAAAATTGAGGTCTTGAGAAATCATGAAAAGAATATCAGCTATCAACTAACCGCTGCCTTGTCTTCATCTCCTAATTATATCTTCAATTGGCAAATTTGGCAAGTACAAAGTAGGTAGCCTTTCAGCTCAAGTGCTTGCAGCCAGCTACTTATTGTGATATTAATTATTGCTTCCAAACCAACTGCAATCACAAGATTGTTATTGTCTCCTACAGTACAGTGCTACTTTGATTATTCAAAGTGTTTTCTTAACTCAGGAGTGTGGACTTAGAACCTCTTAAGTGGGAAGTTTGGACTACAAACTTCCCACTTAAGAGGTTCTGGGGTGGCTAGGTGTAATATTGGCCCCCAAATTAGTCCTTCAGCACAGTGATAGTACCTGGTTTTATAGTAATTAAGCCAGTGTTTCATACACAGAGCTCACAGCTGTTTTCATCTCCCTGGCTCATGATGTGCTCACTAAGAACTGGTATCTTCTCAGAGCCATTGGCAGGTATTGTCAATGCAGAGCTTCACCAATTGTTAAAGCCATCAAGAAGTCATCTGCAAGTGGTTAGATCAGATAGTCTGGCATTTGGGTTCCATTGAACACATTGTCACTGCCATTTGGGACCAGCATCATTATGCCAGCCAACACAAAATATAAGATGCAGGCTTACCTGTCCCCAGGCATCAACAGTGTGGTCAACAACAATAAGCTTGCTATTCTTGATTGCTTGGTCTCACTGTTACCTAGCCTTAACCATCAATTCAACCTCTCTTTCAAATAAATCTGTCTACTTTTACTTGGCTTCTAATTTATCTCATGTCCCTTGCCTGCAGTCAGTTTTTCTGCATGCAAAGCACACCCTCCTGCCTTGCATATTATGTTAAAATTTTGGTTGGGACTGGAAACATGAATGGCTGGAGTGAATCTTGTCAAAAAATGGTCCAGTTAAGGATTTTGAGTAGACTAATCTATCTACAATGCACCCCTTTTATAGGTAAGCTGTAGGAGTGGCTGAATAAATTGGAATTTAGCTAGTAGAACTTGTGGTTTTGTAAGAATAAAAATTAATTATATAAAACAGGAATTCATTATGCAATATGCAATACCCTCCATGCAATATCCTCTCCAACTGAGTGCGCCTGGCCCTGTGACTTCTGCATGAAATCTTTGATCCATGTAGCCTCTGATCTGGTGGAGATATGGAGGTGGTTCCAGTGAGTGACTAGGAGTTGAATTGGCCGTAGATTTAATTTCTGAGGTCAATTTTTTTTATATCTTGTGTCCTTCAGTGATAAAGAATTTTTTTAATTTTCTCCCTTCATCCACATCAGGAAAAAACGATGAACACTTGATGACAAGTGACATCAAGCTAAATCCAGTGTACTACCAATTACATATCCAGCTCAATTCTGCCTCAGCCCCCTTGAGCACACAAAGGGGCCATTTCAGTTGGGCCACAATAGATTTGAAGCTTCATGGGAGCACCAATCAATGTTCCATGATGTCACTTGACATGTAGTGAGCATAAACTTTTCCTGGTGACACAGGAATAATGACCACATCCTCCCCCAACTTAGTGAGTGTCTCCAGTCAATTCTAATTTTATGAATGTTTGAAGGCTAAAACTTGTGTATTTTTGTATGATAAAATCTAGGGTCTTAGTTAAACGACACCCAAATACAGTCAACTCCCTATTACCCCATATACCTATTAAACCATGATTCTCATAACCCATGGAAAAATTGTTCCACCAATTTGGTGGGCAGGGAAATTTGGGCTTAACCCATAATTCTCTATAGCCCAGTAACCCATACCACTTTTGGGGGAAAAAACAGAACTTCATGGATTAATAGGGACATTTTTCCCAGGCTTTTTTAGGTTCTAGTGCCAAAAAGTCATTGAAATTTGCTGTTGGCTCATCTCCTTTCTCACACACTAGGCCTTTTTTATTGATCTCCTTTCTCACTTAGATCATTTGATTGGTCAAGGATGCAAGAACCAAGGAAGAAGATAACAATGATAATGGCAAAAGTAGATCTGATGACCCACCCCACCCTATAACAACTGAAAAAGTGGTCTTCAAGACCATTTCAATCATCAACAATACATCAAGAGCAACACAAGTTGGATTGCCAATAAACACAACCAATTGATGGAAATCTACTCAAAGCAACTTATTGATCACTTGATTGATGCAGCTTGCAACAAACAACAATCACCTCATTTTTCCAACCAGTCAATTCCAAATGATTCCCATTTTCTTTCCTATCCCTATCAGTACCTATCTGTCTTTTTTCATCAATGACTGCAATTTTCATGTCTTAAAATGTTTGTGATGTTTTTATTGGAGCATCAAAAAATACTCTCTTGCAATACAAAGCTACACCAATCTCAGCAAGCAGTCACTAAAATACCTCTATCTTGTCCCATGTATAACATGGCATAAGAGGGCCATAGACACCATTAACCCATAGAAATGATGGGTTAGAAGGGTGTCACTATTTACCCATGATTTCATGGCTTAATAGAGACTTTCACTATTAACCCATGATCCTCTTAACCCATAGCTAATTTGGTCCACCAAGGGGTATGGGTGAATAGTGAGTTGACTGTATTGGAGTTCCAACTCCCAATTAGTTGGGATGTTGCCAAGAGCCCTGCGGACGGTCCGCAGGCCGTCCACCCCCGGAGATGGGATTCAGACCTCCCAAACCTTCAACAGGTTTGGGAGTCAATCCTCCAAAAAAAAAATAAAAAAACCGAGGGGTTTTTGGTAGAGATCTCTAGTTCTTGGGAGTCAATCCTCAAAAACCCCCAGGGAGGTTGGGAGTCGGTGCCAGACTCTCAGCGGCGGAGAGGAATCCCTCTCCACCGTTGAGAGTGTATAATCTCAGCGGCCAAGAGGGATTCCTCTTGGTCAATGAGAGTGTACACTCTCACTAGCCAAGATCTCATTCGCTGAGAGCTGTTTACTCTTGCCGTCCAAGAGGAATCCCTCTCAGTTGCTGAGAGCTGTTTACTCTTGCCAGCCAAGAGGAATCCCTTTCGGCCACTGAGAGTCCGGCACCAACTCCCAACCTCCCTGGGGGTTTTTGAGGATTGACTCCCAAAAACCCCCGGGTTTTTTTATTTTTTTTGGGGGAGGATCAACTCCCAAACCTTTTGAAGGTTTGGGAGGTCCAACTCCCATCTCTGGGGGTGGACGGCTTGCGGACCTTCCGCAGGGGGTCTTGGCGACATCCCAAATCTTTGGGAGTTGGAACTCCAATATTTATGTGTTGTTCAACTAAGATCCAAAATCTAAACTAAGATAATAAAATAAATCTCTGATAGTATGTTCAAAATATGTCAAAACCCCATAGGTAAGTTTTGTTGAGATTGAGAATTGAATGCAGGGGCCTTCTTGTCTTTTAGAATTAAATACCTTGGTTGGGAATTGAACTCAGGTACATGATAAAAAAATGGTCAAGATTGGGAATGGAACCCATGTTCTGGTGTGAAGCTGATTAAAAAGTACTATATTGTCTAGAGGGGTGATTGAACTGGGGTACTGTTGTTTGACTCCAGATTTGAAGTTTTGGATTGCCTGCATCATTGCTGTGGCCGCAGTCAAAAAGTGTGGAGCCACTTGTGCTCCAATTCTGTTAGCGGTGTTCTGGGGAGAGCAGGAGGGGATCTTCAGGGTCCTGGTTCTTGATGGTAGATTGCAAGATGAGAGCAACTCCATTGCAGGCCCTAAATTTGGGTTGCTAAAACATTCTCTCTGGGATTGCACAGCAAGCTTTACCGGCTCAAAGTGCTGCGGCATACACCACAAGTTGGCAAACAATTTGACACACAATTTAGCTTGAATGGAAATCTCTGTTGGAGACAGAAAAACTTGAAAATATATTTATGGTTGCATTTCAAAATAAGATTAAGGAAGAGATTGTGAGAGGAAGCAATGTGGCTCTGGAATGAATTATTCTGACACATTGTTGAGTGCAAGTCATCTGAAGGAAGATACATAGAGAAAAATGAAGCATAAATAAACTATTTGTCATGGTCAACCGGCACAGGAGCTGAAGCTGGAGTTGATACCAGAGCTGGAGTCAGAGTTGGATGGGGAATGGCAAGTTCTTGTTCAAGTCAATCTAATATTTATTTTTGTTGTACTTCTTGACATCATCATAAGCCCAAGTGAGTTCCTTATTCATGATTGCCTCATATGCAAGGCGTTTGAGGGTGGAGTGTTGAGCAGGCATTGCACTTGCTAGTGTCATCTGTTGCTTCTTTGCAACCTTGGCAATATCTATGTGAGCAGTAGCCATCTTCTTGAGGTGTTTGTAATTAGATGCATCTATTTTTTTTTCTCTTGATAGGCCACCTTTTTTTTATCCTATAGGACAAGTCAGTTTTCCACAAAATTTCTTTTTGCCAGAAGCATCCAAAGTTGGGTGGACAGTATTGGCTGAAGTTGAGCTAGAGGCAAAGGTCTTGAGGGATTTGCATTGGGGTTTTTTCTCTGTTCATATATTTTGGTCATTACAGAATTGTAATCATGCCACTTTGGCACTTTTGATGGGAGATTGTAGCAGCTCATGTACTTGAAGGGTCTCTCTTGAAGTTTGCTGTACATTGTGTGGGCCATGCTGATCCTATTTGCGCCATTGTACCACTTGGATTCCAATGGTTTATTTGGTTCACACATCGGTTAAATTTGTTGAGCGGGGCTTGTATGAGGATCCAATGGCCTTTGATACTCTTCAATGGTCAAAGAGGTTTGGGAATCTTTGATTGATAGGGTTTGTGACCGTTTCCCAGAAGTCAGTGTCAGTTTGATTGATACCTTTCCACCCACCTTCAGTTGTTTTGGTAGGTTTGAAGGGCTTCCAATCGAGCTCAGAGATCTTTTAGAAGGAAACGTCGTGAGCCTTGAGGATGAGACAGGAAAAGCGACATCGACTAGCGACATCGACTGCAGAGTATGAAGACCAAGCGCTTGCAATGCTCAGAATTTTAAGCCTGTTCTACATAGAACGAGTAAGGATCATGCCGCAAGACAGAAGGGACTCAATTTATATTTAGCGCCAAGCATTCAAAGGATTATCAAACAGGAATATAACAAGGGAGGGAGATGGAACCTCAAATTGCAGTTCCTGAATACCCATGGATGGCGTATCTTCTCATTGATCCTACTACTTACTAACTGGGTTGCTTTGGACGCCCAAGCCTTGTTTGATCTACTCCCGACAGCTGGCCAGGTTTAATGCCTTACAGCAGTGAGGAGAACTCATCGCTGGATTGCAGAAGTTAGCTTCTGGCTGAGCGGAGTGAATAATTGATTGGAAGTGTTTAACATGTTGGAAGCGCAGTGCTATGCTAGTGGAGGACTAGACCATAGAGAAGAAACCAAAAAAAAAAAAGAACACACCGAAGAAGACACGAAACGAAAAGGAACTCATTCTTAGCCCGGGAAGTTGTTTGCCAGGATCCATCTCCCCATGCACGCTTCCTAAAGCAAAAGCCAGCTCTCTCCAATTGAGCAGACGGTGATTATCCCCGATAGTGGGGCGATGTCCACACGGCGCTGGCATGACCGAGTGGGAGAGGCATAGCGGCCCGTTTGCAAGATGCCCTACCACGGCCATCAGGATCGATTCGTTGCATAATCACTTGAGCTCGGCCTCTCTTCCCTCTCAAAGCATGCGTTTCGTCCTGCCCACAGACACCCAGCCTTATATAAATGGGCCATTGGCTGCAAGTCTGGGTTTGCTCCATCCATCATCATTATCATCATCATCTCTCTTTCTCAGCATCAAACATACCTGGTTTCATCTTTTAAGCTTCCATCAGATCAAGCTTCTTGAGGGCATCAAATTTATTGTCGGTCAACCTAATCACACATTGCGGTATCAACATGCTCGACTGGAACAAGCCCAAATCTTCATTCGACGAGCAAAGCGAGCTTCCCCTGTACAACAAAAACTACAGCCGTCAGATTTCCTCGTCCCATTCCATAGGCCTCACATCTCGTTCCACATCCCTTAGTCCGACTGCAAACTTTACGAACTTGCCGCCTACATACTCGGATACTCAGTCTTCCACTCACGAGAAGATCAGCCTTTGTTCTCGCCAGCCGGCCAAGAAGCCTCACGGCGATGGGATCACTGAGACAGTTGAGGGATCGCCTTCGAAATGGAAGGTCGCAGCTGTAATAATATTTTACTTGGTCGCCGCCATTGTGATGGTATTCGCAAACAAGGTTCGTAATCTTTGCCATATAATCAACTCGTCAGGCAGACACAAATGAATTGATCTGTCTTGGTTACTTCTCCTCAGTGGGTTTTACGAACGACCGCGATCCCAATAACATTTCTGTTTTGTCAACTATTGTTGGCGACCGGTTTGTTGAAACTTGCCGGACTCTTGGGCTTTTTGGAGATCCCCAACTTGGACCTGAAGATCGGCCAAAAATTGCTTCCTCTCATTTCTATCAACGTCATTGGACTTGTCTTCAACACCTTCTGTCTTCAATATGTCGATGCCTCGTTTTACCAAATCGCCAGAGGCCTCGTCCTCCCCTTCACCGTTCTGGCCTCCTACCTTTTCCTCGACTCCCGCCCAAGTCCCAACATTCTGTCAACCGTTTTAATCGTCTGCGTGGGCTTCCTTTGGGGCGTGCAGTCGGATCATCTACATACGTCCCGAATTGGCGTTGCACTTGGAGTACTGAGCAGCATAACAACCTCAGTTCATGCTATTGTTGTCAAACGTTCACTATCGGTCACAAGCTCCGCCATCGAATTATCTTATTACAACAATCTTGTCTCGGCTATCTTTCTGTTACCTTTGATCCCCCTCACCTCAGAAATCGTCACCTTCCGTGCACTACTATCAACAGGCGGACAAGATCTGCACACTTTTTTGATGGGCGCTCTGGTGACTGGATTCTTCGGGTTCCTAATCTCACTGGCCGGCTTCTTATCCATCAAAATCACCTCTCCGGTTACCCATATGGTTTCTTCGGCAGTCCGCGGCGTATTACAGACGATTCTAGGAACAGTCTTGTTTGGTGATCTCATCTCATCAAATAGATTTATCGGCATTGTCGTGATCTTAGGAGGATCGATCGCATACACTGCTATTAAGGATAAGGAGAGTCGTTCGGAGAAATACCACCTGACGACAAGAAGCAGACCCTCACAGCCAATTCTCCCGATAGTATCCCCATCAAAAAACCCTATAAACTTAACAGCATTGAAAGTAGTCTGTTAATTATTAAATTTTTGTTTGGTTTTTCTGTGAAAGTGCCCCATGAGTCAAGTTTAATAGTTTATACAGTAGTATTTCGTTCATTCTTTTTACCAGTAAGTGTTGGTCATAAATGTATATTGCACCCATTCTTCAGCATCTAGAAAAAAATTATTTCAAAATTTCTTTGTTGTGCTTCATGAGACAGACACAAGAAACAACACTGGGTAGTTACATTACCCATAATGGTAGTGTAAAGATAAAGTAGTGAATTTCCACTCATTATCATTACTTTCCCCATGATGTTTGGAAATTTTTTGCACATTACATTATCCATTTTGCCTTGGAATTTTTTTCATGCTCATTACACTATCAGCAACTTGTAGATTTTTTTTCCAAAAAAAAAAAAAAAAACATAAATATTGGTAAGACATGTGATACTTTCTGGACATTCATGGCATGTGTTGCTGCCAAAGCTCAAAAATAGAGGCTTTTTGCCATTCAAAAATGTGTTTAGGATTGCTTAACCTCTGGATAAGCTGATAATGCATTACTTTATCCATTCAAAACACACAATTAAAAACTTCACCATTACACTACTGGCTGAAAGAAAAATTTACCACTACAGATAATGTTAATGTATCAGGGAAGGAATCAAGTGCACTACATTACTGAGATAATGCAGATAGTGCAGCATAAAATAGAGACCCAGTGTTGCAAGAAACTTACACTTTGTGTGTGAACATACTTGACCAACAGGGATTAACTTGATTATCCAATTAGTAAGTTACACATTGTGCGTGTCCCCCAATAAAATCTTTGCCTTTTAACAGAGCCCTGGAAACTCCATGCAGTAAAAATATGGGGGGGGGGAGGCTGTTATTTTTGAGAAAATTGACTGGTATCAATGGTAACAGTGGCCAAAGTAATTTTTTTTTCTCAACTTTTGCGCTCAAAAAACTTCAATCAATCAAATTCAAAACTTCAAACGGTGGGAAAAGTAACACTTCAAGAGCCCAGAAGAAGCTATAGCACAGACAACAAAAAAGGGAAAAGCCCACATGTGGAGATCAACTCATCAAACTACATGATTGAACACAAGCAGATGATATGCACATTTATCTATGTATTTCCACACATCTTTGTGCGCTAAACCTTGCCAGAACACCCATAATTATGTTGGAACCCAACCCTGGGTTACCAGACAAACTCACCTAACCACCCGTTAGCCCCCTCTGAAGCATGTATATAAACCAGTTCCTGTTCCTCTACATGCAATACACACTCTGAGTGTGTTCCACTTTCTCCTGTTCCATCAAATTAAGCACTTAGGGAATTCACATGGTTGTAGAGGCAGGTACAAGTAGGATGTGTATGTGCCAAATAATCACCTCAAACAAAATGAACAAATTAAAAGAATGGCTGGTGTTCAATTGCAAGATTTAGGATCTGCAACCTCCAGTGACTTCTGGGTGTTTCAGACCATCATGGTGCACAAACATTTGGCCTGCATGGTCAACTCAACCCCTGCTATGCAGTCATTCAACTATAGTACTTATGTGGTGTCCCAGAGTGTCCCCCACTATGCAAATACTCCCCAACAACTATCTTGTGAGGAGTATGCACAAAATAAGTCAAAAAAGGGATTGGGAAAAGGCATGAATTTTAGGCAAAATCTAGACCCTCCTTGGTTTGACCCCCTATCTTCCAGGAAATTTTCATGGTCCTCTTTAGAGTTGGTTGCCCAAGAATATCAGGTGGCAATCTGGGCATCCAAGCTCAGATATGAATTGGTCTCCCCAGACCTTACAAACCTGGCATATCTGGCTCCAGAACCCTATACATTACAGGTACCCAACTGATTATGGTATGAGGGGCTCCAAAACAAAGCTCACTTCACACAATGGCCTGAGAGATGCAAAGGCCCAAAACACACAAAAAAGGATATGTTTCTGCCATATAAGGCAGTTTTTGACACACCAAGTATTATTCCTTCAGACTGCAAATAAATTCCTTGGCCACCACCACCTCTTGAGTCCCACATTCTTGATACTCATTCTTGTAATCAATATTATTACCACTACTACTATAATATATAATATATGTTTGTAATCTTGTTATTGTATATCATCTTGATCATCAATCAATCAATCAACTGATGAACCAAATCAATCACCATGCACAAAAAAAAGAACAGAACTGAGAAAAAAAACGAGAGGAGAAAGATCATCAGCAGCCAGTGAGAGTTACAAAACAAACAAAAGAAAAGAAGAAAATAAGAAACCAAGAAAAAAAAATAGTGAAGAGTTATATACATCAACCACATTGTTGTATATGAATCAGCAAAGTATATATGTATATAGATATCGATCTATTTATCAATCTAGAGGAAAATAAAAAGAAACACAATTGGTGGGGGAATTTGATTTCAGAAGAATTGGGGTAAGAACTGAGTGAGGAGAGGTAAGTGAAAAGAAGGATACACTAAGAGAGAGAGAGAGAAGAGAAACAGATAGACTGAGACGAGGAAGAGAGAAAAGACTAAGGTCTGGAACGATGGATAGTAGAGGAGAAGAGGAACTGATCAAGAGGATGGTTAGGGTTATAGAGCTGCTGATAAAAGGAGTCAACGTCCCCAGCAAACAATTCCTGATCCGCATCAGTATGATGAGAACCGATACCAGATGAGGAGGAGTGGGTTCGGATGTAAGAGGAGTAGGAGGAGGCAGGCGGTAGAGGCTCGGATAGGCTGGGATCCGGATTGGAAGCCCGCAAGGGAGCAGGCCCGAGGAGGTCCCTGGTTGTGGGCCTCTCGATCCAACGGATCGGTCGACGAGTCAGTCTGCCAACAGAGGAGCTGGTGCTCCTGGAGGCTCGACCAGCACGGGCTGGGGTCTCCTGGCCCGGATGATCCTGCGGACGGACAGTCTGGGTAGACGAGTCTGAACCGGTATCGCGAGCCGAGGAGGGTCGAGTGCTATTACTTCGAGCAACGATGACCCGGAAGCCAGGTCGGTCGGTGGATCGGGACCCGGACTGATCAAAGTGTCGCGGTTGAAGATCGTGGTGGACACGGATCGTACGTGGTTCCCGTTGTCTGGCCTCGTCGATTACATTGAGTGCTGCCCTAATCGCCCTGCTGTCCGTCTCATTTAATGGAATCGTGATAGAAGAGTCCCTGGCAGCACTGTTGTTGTTGGACCGGTTGTTGGAGTGTAGGTTTGAACATGGCTTTCGGAGTGGCTTCTTGGGTAAACAGAGGTAATCGAATTCGATCTCCCCGATCTCTTCGCCCACTAAGCCGTCCTTGGAACGCTCATAGATGGTCTTCTGTTCACTATCTTTCCACCTGATACTTCCATCTTTTGAGAAATCGACGATGATCTTTCTGCGTTCCATCGGGTTGGTATCGATCGGAATGACCACTGTTCTGACTTTCAAGTGACCATCGTCTGGACTGTAGAAGGCTGGTAAGCTGCGACGTGCATTCGACTCTCGTGCTGCTGCCTCTGCTAATTCAGCCGTCGTGGGTTGGCTGCTGTTCGGAGGCCGGTTTCCAAGCGAGTCATGAGGGTGAAGCGCACTGCGAGAGTCCTGGTTCTTCCTCTTCCGGTTTTCATCCCACCCTCTGAGGGCTTCTGACAATGAGCCTGGAGTAGATTATTAAATGATTAGTGTCGGATTGTATTCAATTTGAGGTGACCAATCAGCTTACTATTATCGGCATTGGAAAGGCTTGGTAGAGGGCGATGATTCGAGCGTCTCTGGATGGAATGTTCTCTGAATTCATTTGTACGTTCTCGGCTAGTCTGAGATTGATCAGATGGAAGGTTTCTTGAAGGTGTTTCTGTTCTGTGAGAACTGCTGGAGGGCCTTGCCCAGTAGTTGGGAGGGATTGGTATTCTTGGTACTGTTGTTTGGTCATCCTCTGGGTAAAAGTGGAACTCTGGTGGAGTGTTGTTATCCGAGGATGTGTTGGTAAAGTAGTTGTTGAACTGATCCATCTGTTCGTCGAATCGTCTCAATCTTTCAGCTAGCCGGCTTTCGAATGATGAGTCGATGGGGTTCACTTGGTTTGTGTGTTCATTAGTCGTTGATAGAGTGTCGTTTGTTACGCCTTGCATTAGTTCTGCGGTGAGGAAGTTCCTGAACTGGTTCGAGAAAGGTGTGATAGTCGGTTCTGACTGTTGTTGTTGTTGCTGTTGTTCGGTTTGAGTGTTGTTGTTGTTGTTGTTGACCGTTAACATGGTTGTTGTTGTTGGTTGTTGGTTGGTTGGTTGGTTGGTTTTTGGTTGGTTTTTGGTGTGGGAAGGAAGGAAGTCCCGTGGGGTGGTCGGCTGCAGGAAGCCTGGCTGGCTTTGGTTCGCCGTTCGACTGAGCCCCGGGGGGTGAAGGGCGGGGAACAACCGAAATGCATGCATACAGGACACAAGCTGAGGCCTCGCCGCCTCCGCCTGACACATCACCCCCTGCAACAACATTGTGAAATTCAAGTGGCCCATGATTAATCACTTCAACTACTCAACCTCCTTGCATACTCCATGTACATGAATCAAAATGCTCAGCCAACGCACTTCTCGTCAATTTTAGTTGGAACACCTCAACAACAATCATATGTAATCCTGATAATCCATACAGCTAAAAAGGTTGCACAGTCTATACTTTTATTTTATTTTTACAATCCACCCATAGCTATATACTTGACGATTTGAAACTCTTCAATCCCAAACTTGCTTCCTTCTCTACCAAAACCAGAATGCTTGATACCTCCAAATGGGGTAACTGCATTCGAAACCATTCCCGTGTCTAGTTTAATACATTTCGACAAGTGTGGGTGTATTAGCAATGAAAACCCTTTAAATTAACCAATTCACTCTAAAAAGAAAGAAATAAATCTAACTCACTAGCCCCAACCATTCCAACCTCTAGAGCCTCAGCGACTCGCCAGATTCTACCGATATCCCTTGAGTAAAAGTACCCCGCCAGACCGACTTCAGACTTATTTGCCTGAAGAATCACATCTGATTCGCTTTCAAATTTATACAAGGCTGCCACCGGACCTGAATGAATTGAACATGAAAAAAATGAATGACTTGTGAATCGATTGGAAGGTCCGCTTGAAAAGGCATAGATTATTTTAGTTATACTAACCAAAGGTTTCTTCATCATCAATCACTCCACTTGGTACCTCACTGAGAACCGTAGGCTCGAAGAAGTGACCCACTCCGTCTACCTTCTTCCCACCAATCAATACCTCGGCACCTGCCTCCTTCGCCAAACGAACATGTCTCGAAACTTTTTCCAAGCTCCTCTCGTCTATCAATGGACCTATCAACACCCCCTCTTCAAATCCTGAACCGATCTTCAATTCGGAGACCTTCCTCGTTAGCTTAGAGGCGAATTCTGCATAGATTGACTTGTGTACATAGAATCGATCTGTTGGATTATGGGCCAATGGAATAAGAATAAATAAATAAAATGTTCAGTTCCCGCTGGTTGCATGCCCTTACCCGTGCTTGTCGTATGACATATTTCTCCAAAATTCAATAATATCCAAGTACTTACTTGCAGAGACACATGCCTGACCAGCGCATCTAAATTTACAAGCTATGGCCCCTTCTACAGCCCTATCAACATCAGCATCCTCAAACACTATGAACGGCGCATTCCCGCCGAGTTCCAACGACAACTTCTTCAGAGTTGATGATGATTGACTCATGAGAAGCTTGCCGACCCCTGTCTAGATTCATAGATCGTTCAATCCAAGTAAGGAATGACAGCATAAGTAGATATTAATCTAACCCATTTTGAATCATAAGACAAAATATGTACTAACGGAGCCTGTGAAGGACAGCTTCCGGATCTCCTCACTCTCGCAGAGTGCTTTGCCGATCTCAGGTGTTGCGGACTGAGTGGTGACGATGTTGAAGACCCCAGCGGGAAACTCGGCTTGGTGCGCTAGTTCGGCCAGAGCTAGGGCAGTTAATGGAGTTTCTGCTGGCGCTTTAATCTGATATAGAAAAACAAATAACCAGCCAAGTTAATAGGTAGGAAGGAGGGAGGACAATGTATCAAAAATAAATAAATATTTCTTACGATAACTGAGCAACCTGCGGCAAGAGCAGGTGCAACCTTCCGAGTGATCATCGCTGCTGGGAAGTTCCAAGGGCATAGAGCAGCAACAACACCGATGGGTTGTTTGATGACGAGATGTCTGATACCTGGGGTTGAGCTAGGGACGATAGTCCCATCGGTCCTGAGAGCCTCCTCGGCGAACCAGTCCACAAAGCTCGCCGCATAGTTCACCTCGCCCATCGCATCTTTCCAACATTTACCGTTCTCAGCCACGATCAGTCTCGCTAGATCCTCCGCATTCGATAGGATCAGTTGGTTGAACCTTCGGAGATATGATTGGCGAGAAGCCGGTGTGCTGTATCGATAGCTCGAGAATGATTTCTTGGCTGCATCGATTGCAAGTTTTAGATCGACCAAGTTCATATCCGGACAATTCCCAATTTCATCACCGGTCGCTGGATCTATCCAGCATGGCAAAAGAAGACGAGTTATTTTTGAGCACATGTTCGACCGTCCGAGAGATTTGCCCTATTTCAAGGCGGCTGTTGGAGTAATACGATTGATCCCGAACGTACCTTTGACAGCGAAGGTGCGGGAGGTACTCGAACCAACCCATTGCCCATTGATGTATGACTGGTGTTTCAACAGATCATGATTCTTGAGCTGGATACGTCACAGGTCAAGTTAAGAACAGGGTCAATATCTTTTCCTTCTTCTGATTACATAGAATTGGCTGACCTTGGCGGATAGGACCGAGGATCTATTGATGGGGTAGGTTGAGAAGGAGGCAGAGGATCGATTGATGGGGTGAATGGAGACTGATGGTCGGATTAACTTATTGGTCAACATGGGCTACACTACTTCGATCGGTGGCTGTATGCGTTCCTCTGATGTGTCCGACTCCCCTGCAGTTGCGGTTCTTGAAGTCAAAGGTCAACAAACATGAAAAAGAAAAAAAGAAAGTTGACTGTTGAAGGGTGCCCAGACTCCGAGCCGGCTCGGTCCTTATCAAGGTTGACAGCCCAAGACAGCTGAAACTAAATAAAACTTTGTTCTATCTTCATCAGAAAATCAGAGAATTCAGAAGCCACCCACACAGACCTTAATCACAAAGAACTGTTGAACTAATGAGCATAATGGCTCTCTCCCTCCCTCCTTACAATCACACAGATACTCAATTCCACATAGCTCTGGGAGATAAAAAATGAACACTGAGATGTAGGGGCCCTATAAGCTCAGCAGAAAGATGGGAAGATCTATGAGGGACTAAGTTGATGGAATGGGGTCATTTCCAATCAACAAAGGAGTGGAGAGGAAAACCAACCAAGAAAATTTTTCCACTCTCTTTAATGATTAACAGCAACTGCCATTAATACTAGAAAAACAATCAAATCAAATCTGTCTTGTCAATAGTACATTTTCATTGATCAACTTGGGACTCATATATTATGTATCAGGTATAGCACCACAGAAGAAAACAAAAGCAAAATGATCTCACAAGTATTGATGATATGCTAAAAAATATATAAATGAGAGAGATGTATATCCTAAAAAAAACCAATACCCTCAAAGGAAAAAAAAACCACACAGCTTCTGTCCTGACCATCCATCCACAATGCCTTTTCCAATTAGAACTTGCACAGAACCTCTAAGAGAAGATACATTTTATTTCTCTCTTTCTTTGATTCTATTAGTAGTATTTACAAAGATAGGAAAATTATGGTGACCAGGATGTGAAGGACTGCGACCCATGTTTTAAGTTTTCTACAGACTTGCCTCATTTTTCTGGGATGATGTACTGGAGGCCTCACCTTATATGTAAGTGCAGACAGAGAAAAAAAATTAAGACAGAGATTGCACTAGGTTTTGAGCAGGTGATATTACAATATATAAGCACCCACAAATCTCCTGGATGGGGCCAAGGGTAGACCCATATAAATGTACATGGAATGAATACATTATCATATCAAGAACAGATCTCAGCTCTCTTCACTGCAAATGTGATTATATCAGATTCCCACATCTGGCATTACATCAGATGAAAAAATCTGATTTTACATCAGGCAAAACTGGTATTATATCTATCAGGAGTGATATTATATCTACCTAATATTATGTTATATCTATCTTAACAGATATTACATCAGCCCAACCTATTTAATATCAACATAACTGATTTTATATCAGATTTTTTTATCTGATACAAATTTTTAGCCCATGGGCATTAAATCAGATGGAAAAATCTGATATGAATTCAGTTATGTTGAAATTGAATAGGTTGGTCTGATTTAATATCTTTCATGATAGACACAATATCATTTTAGGTAGATATAATATCAATTCTGGTAGATACAATCCCAGTCTTTCCTGATGTAATATCAGATATTTTTATCTGATGTAATTCCAGATTTAGCAATCTGATACAATCATTTTGGCAGTGCTTCTCAGCAAGAACAAGAGTGATGAGAAAAAGGAGGAACAAATTTTTCCACAAAACAAGATATATTATATAACAAATTTCAAACACTATACCTTATAGTAAGAAAAAAAAACACATTTCACTCAAGAAATTCTGGCCAGGATTCTCCTCATGAGTCAATAAAATGACACTGCAGCACAGACAACTGTTTTAGTCCAAACTGCACCAAACCCCCAAAAAAATGATCCTTATTCTCTTGGCTTAGATTGGCTTAGTATAGTCAAGGGTCTTGATAGTAGTTACCTTTCCATCAGTAAACCATATTCTCAAGTGGGACTGGTACACAGGAGCCTTGCTTTTCAACCACTCATCTTTTTCCTGTGATTGGAAGAAGCCCAGCCTTTCTTTCAAGGAAATAGACACCATCCAGAGACTCACAAAAGAGAGACACACATACGGCGGGATAATATGACTCAAAAGAGGAGAGGAAATCATTGTAGGGGAGCACTGGCACGGCTGCTTTGACCATGATCAAATGAACCCACGTTCCGAGACAGAAATTGGGTGTTTCTTTGTGTATTCTTGACAACATGATCATTAAAAAAAAGTCGAGCAGAAACAAATGTGCAAAAAGATCTGGTGTGTTGGCATAGATCAGGAGGAAAGTGTTTGCATAAAAAAAGACCGAAACAAGATGTGACTGGTGATTTTCATCAACATTATTATTCAGATCAATACTAAATCAAAAAGCAAACTTTTCAGAAAAACTTCGCAATGAAAAAGAAGCAAGTTTTTTTTGGAGGACGGAGATGAACACATGAACTTTTTTCTTTTTTTTGATAACAAAGAAGAATTAAAAAGTAACTGAATTTGATACTATCGGGAAAGAGTTCTATTTGCGCCTCTTTTTGAATGATCACGTTGGAATTTGAGTCGAATCTTAGCCTGAAGTTCACCCTGAAATTTTTTACGTTTTTCGTTAAAGGCGACAAAATCCGGGCCGATCGAGCCGATCATCCTCCTGATGAACGGGCAACTAAACAGTCCAGAGTCCTGGCCGAGATTGATGCTAGCCGGGATCAGGGTTCGGGCCGGTTCGGTGCTGGCAGTAGAGTCTTGAGAGTCGGCGGCAGACGAGTTCTTGATCGCTACCTCGTCCTTAGAGTTGGAAACCCGTTTACGACTGACCTCGTAGGTTTGATCCCCTTGTTGAAGCTTCTTCTCCGAATGGCGCTGGCAGTTGTTCGAATCGTCCTGGTCAGAGCTTTGGAAGGATTCTTTGCAGCAATCGACGATCGAGTGACCGTTGGTCGACATCCGCTGTACTGCCGGTTCTGAGTCAGTACTTGGCTGGGAGTTGCTCGGCTGGGAATCGCTTGGCTGGGAGTCGCTCGGTTGGGAGCGCGATTTGGGGGTGATTTGAGAGCTTGATAGTCCGCGACATTGGAAGGAGGACTCGTCAGTCGATTCAGAGGGTGAAGGGTTGATATCTGAGATCGAGCCTTCTTGGGAGTGATCCTGCTGAGGGCTAAGGTCGGTTTGACTAGGATGGTGATGGACTGGTGGGACGATAAAGTCTTTTGAGATCACTCGCTGGAGGGGGAAGTAACTGGTCACAGGATCCTCGGGATCGCTCGGCGATTCTCTTGCGGAATGGAACGAGAGATTGACGCTTCCCAAGGAGGATAAGTTCTTCTCCAAGGAATAGCCGCTGAGGGCAGACTGCCAGAGTGACCGTAAGGAAGAGGTACAGCCGGATGTGTTCTGATCGGGGTTCAGATAGATGGCATGCTTGGGGCCGTCACCGGTGGTCAGCTGGTCGGGGACGAAGGAGGGATGGCTGATCTTGGGTGCCGGCCCGAGGCGGGCCCGAGGCCTGATAGGAGCCTTAGTACCGGGCACACGCAACAAGCTGTCGGAGAAGAGCGGCAGCTTGCGCACCTCATGGGGGACGGTCGACCCAGGCCCAACCGAGTCCAGATGATGACCCTGGCCGAGCACCTGGCTGAAGTGTCTAGTCTTCACCGTCCTCCTCGATTTCCGTCGCAGGAGCATCGGGGTCAGATTGGGAGTCGAGACTAATGAGGCTCGACTGGTTCGCAGTCTTGGTACCATCTTGGGTTATAAACAGTCTAGTATATAATAATAATAAAGTGGAGTGAGTGGGTTTTATTGATAGTTGGCTGATGGGGGACTAATCAATGCCAATGGAGAGCAGACCGGGAGTCCCAGATACAATGATATATTTAAGTAGTCACTGCGATCACATTGCCAGCTGCTTGATCGCTTCTTGATCTTGTATGCCTGGATCGATCGATCTACTCTAATTACACTCTATCAGTTTTTTTTTTTTTTTTTTTAATCTATCGTGGATGAGGGGAGAGTAAGCCTTAATAACCAGCTGCTACTCTGCTGCTGCTGACCAAGGTGTTCATGGTTAAAAAGCCAGCCTGCCCTTGCGGGTTGTATCACTGCCAGAGTCGATCATCGGCTGGTGTATGTCCATTTCATCATCTCCCGTCCGCACTTGGTTGCCCTGTCAGCTACAATAGCTTCCCACTGCCAGGCAAATCTCCTTCAACCAGAGAATAAAAAGAGAGACTCGATGACGGCTATATGTAGTAAGCATCCACCTGCTCATTGGCTTATCACGATCACCAACACACCCCACCAGCTCATCGCTCTCTGGCTTACAGTCCATCATCCAATAAGCCGTTAAGGAGCTGGACTGAGTAAGACTGTAACATGCCAGCTCATTTCAGATCACCGGCAGTCTGACGTACAGAAAAAAATGGGGGTCATCGGAGTGCCCACGTTGGTCTTTGGCCTATACACCCAGCCAGACTAAGAGTCTCAGAGTACACCTCGGGGTGGAGGTTAAGAGTCTAGAGAATTATCCTCGACAGGCAGTCACATCCGAACTTAGAGCAACTCCACGGGGGTCGGTAAATTACGGTCCCCAAATTTTGTGTTTGGGGACTGCACTGTTGTAACATTCCTGTTACATGCCTCTGACTCGCCGCAGCACGGCACCTGAGAGGACTCGGGAGATACCTCCGAGGGACTCTCGTAGTCATTCTGCACGGAACAATACACTATTATCAGTTTAGGTTCCTATAGGTTATGAGCCCTTAAGGACTCTTGCTTATAATTTTTTTCTCACTTACGACGACATCAATCCGCGATTCGACCCGTGGATTCTGGCGAAGTTTTCTTTTCCGACACCGGTTACCTTAGTTTCGTCACTAAGTTTTTTTTTTTCACCACTTCCCTCGTCATATCAATTCAAGATCCGAACCTTGGCGATACGACTTGGGACTCGATTGAGTTAGTATTCTGATTAAGCTAGATAGGCTAGCCACCTATTTATTACGGTTCAGTGGCCCTGAACCGGTGCAGAAAAGTTTGCAAACTCTTTTGATCAACCTTGTCAATTCAACTCCGACACTACCTCAATCTCTATCACGGCGAACCGGTGAACAACGCTCGCACGACTTCTCACTTGGTTTACCATTTTTTTTCCTTCACTCCTACCAATTTTCTTTCTTTCTCTTCTCGACAACCTCACATTTTTTTTCATATCCACCACTCTCTTCCCCCAATTTTTTTTCCTTCTCTTTTTCAGCGCTTCTTACTTTTTCCCCTCCCTATCACCTCCCAAAAAATTTTTTTTCTTCCCTATTTTTTTCTTTCATCGCTTCTTCCCTTTTTGCCTCCCTACTCCTCATCATTTTTTTCCCCTATTTTTCTGCATCCCTCATCCCTTTCCCCCCGTTTTTTTTCACCATGTCCCGGTCCGAACAAGAACGTAATGTGTGGTCGAGATCGTCGTCGGTCAGCGTGGCATCGACAAATGGATCGGAATCGGGTTTTGACCCGGAGGACGGTTCAAGACGGATGGGAGCACTCTTCGACGCTGTTCTGGATGGTAGTGACGAGACGCAATTGGCAGACACCACCATCAAGAAACCCAGCAAAGGAAAGCAACCGCTTGAAGGTCGTCGGGCTGAAACGTATGAGGAGCATCGTCCGGCACCGTCGAGCTCGAATCTAAATGCTCAAGCGGCGGGAGGACACCGACAATCGCAAAATATCCGTCATCATGCACCCCACCAAGTACAGCTGACCGTGGCCAAAAGAGAATACCAGGAGTTTCAAGCGGCAAAAGTTCGCCTAGAGCAAGCGAAGCTGATAAGTCAAACGGTGGTGAATATCAATAATTGTTGGAAACCCGAAAACGTCCTGAGCGCGGATGGTTCGAACTTCTTGCAGTGGACACGGGAACTTCGTGAAATTGGAGCGTCACATCTCTCCGAGGCCAATTTTTTCTTCAGCCGTTGTGACAACTCGACGTTCAAAAAGATTGGTCGGCTATTCATTTTTGCGGGTGTACACCAGGATCTTGTCCCCGACATTCAACCTCTCGGAAAGACCGTCGATATCTATGATTTTTTGAAAAAGAAGTTCACCGCCAACTCGCGCGCAGCGCAGATGAACATCTGGCGCAGGCTGAACGGTTTGACAATCAAGCATACGGAGCCATCGACCGCCCTAGTCACTCATGTCCGCGATTTGTACACTGAACTTAAGGGACTCAACGGTCGACTCTGCTCAGACGTGGTTTTCGGCTTCTTGTTCCAGACGGCTGTGATGCAATCGGCGGCGCCTTTCAAGAAGGAATTTGAACAGCGTGTGGAGAACGCAATTCAGAATGATCCGACTAAATCTTTCCCAAAATTCGAGGCGATCGTTCACAACTATAACATCAGCCAGAAACAATGGGTTGAGTACTCATCTCAAGCTTCGGTTGCTTTAGGACCCCAAATGCCGTCGGTCATGGAGGCGACAACGGACTCAGATGATTTCGATTTTGATGCGTTCCTGGCTGACGTCCCTCAAGACAACTGGTCGGAAGCCCTAGAGTTCTACGCTGCAACTGCCATCAAGTGCTGGCAGTGCAAATCGCCCGGCCACTACGCCCGAGATTGTACGCAGCGGGCTGGAGATCATCAAGCAGCAAAGAGACGAGGTGGATCCGCTGGCACTCAACATCAAGCAAGTTCCCATCGGCAGTTAGCAACTTTTGTTGGCTCGCTGTACACTCAACCAGCGACCCAATCAACGCCTGGCCGTTCTCCGAATGCCCCCCCTTCCCATTTCCAAACTCAGGCTAAGCGACTAGCCGACTTCTACCGACCACGGTATCAACAACAACCAACAGCTTCTCAACATCAACAATCGCACAAAGGGGGGGCATCAGCTCAGGTAATGGAGATTGGAGAAATTCCAGATGATCTTGATGATCTGGATTTTAGGGCAATGACGTTAGGAGAGGATATTGTGAGTGCCAATGTTATTTTTGATACTGGTGCTTCCCATCACTTCTCTGGTTCCCACTCTCTTCTCCATGATTTCCGTCACCTCTCTAAACCTTTACCGCTCTCGGTAGCTACCACCGCCGACCAATCCTATATTACCGGAGTGGGGAACCTGAAGTTCAGAGGCCCAAATGGCCTTATTATAGTCATTCGAGGGGTACTTTTCTGTGAGCAAGCCAGATCCAACTTAATCTCAATGGCTGCGCTCCGGAAATCTAAAGCTTCTGTTCTGTATGATAATGACAGGGATGCGTTCGAGATTTTCAACGGCGCAGGGGACCATGCTTTTAGCTGCCTACTGGACAAGTCCAGAAACCGTTGGTGTTTATCATACCCTTTCTTACGCAGCGACGGAGGCGGGCCAAATGGGGATGTTTCTGTTTTTGTCTCTTCTATCAACCTTTCTGCCAATAACAAAACAGCGGAGCCTACTCTATCATCAACCATTCCGCTTTTTGATTTCCCTGTCTCTTCTTGCCCTTCTGTTATTCTTCCTTCTTCTTCCAATAATCCAGAAATAAATGCTGCTAAAGCCAAATTTAACAATGAAGAGTTTTTTAAAGAGCCGATTGCAAAGATTGATAATTTCCAGTGGAAACCGGAATCACTATCCAAGGAGGAAAAGCAACTTCTGTTTTGGCATCGTGTTTTCGGCCATGCTGGACTGCGCACTCTGCGGAAACTTATCAAGGAAGGCTTAGGCGAAGGACTTCCGAAATCTTTACCACATGGGTCTATCCACTGTCCGGTTTGCGCCATTAGCAAAAGCACAGCCATAAATACGCTAAGCTCCACTAAACGTGAAATCAAACGCATGGAAATTCTGGCTGTAGATCTTATTGGACCTTTTGAGGTTGAAGCAATTGATGGCAGCAAATATCTGCTAACGCTTCGGGATGCAGCATCAGGCTACTGTTTCGTCAAACCAATCAAGGCAAAATCTGACTCGAACAAAGTGATTATGGACACAATCACCCGTCTGGAAAGGATAACGACAAATAAGGTGAAGCTTCTGTGAAGTGACAATGGTGGAGAATTCATCAACAAGGCTCTTGGAGATTTTCTCACGACAAGAGGGATTGGCACTGAACGTGCACTGCCTTATCACCATTATCAAAATGGAATGATAGAGCGTTTCAACAGAACAATTCAAGCCATGGGCAGAACTGTGCTTATAGACAGCTCCCTACCAAAGACATTCTGGTGTTATGCTTTCCAATGGGCCGGACACATTTTGAATCGACTCCCTAACAAAGCAAGTGGGAAGGTAACTCCGTATGAAGCTCTTTTCCAAATAAAACCTCACTTTGACCGTTTCCGGGCTTTTGGAAGTTATGCTTATGTTCACATCCCAGTTGAGAACCTCCTGAAATTAGACACTCGGGCTTTGCAAGGCCAGGTCGTTGCACATTTGGAGACGAGCAAGGGGTGGATGTTCTGGATCCCCGCGGAACAGCGTTTTGTCAACTCAGCCCTGGTTCGTTTCGTCGACAATGAACATAGCCATTTCACCAAGATCGGAAAACTTGGCGACGACTTGGACACCAACCCGGCTGTACCCGCTGAACCTGAAAGTCACATCGATCCATCTCTTGGGGTAAATGTGAAGAAACTGAGCGTGGATTTTGTTATGAACCTGATGCAACTTGGGGACTTCTCCAGGGAAATTGAATTCCATGACCAGGAACTGATTGTTGACAAGATTCTTGAGCTTTGTCATTTTTATGCTATCACAGTTCCCAAAACCTTCAAACAGGCAATGAAATCCCCAGAAAAAGACGCTTGGTCGAAGGCGATAACGGTCGAGCTTAACAATTTGGAACAAATGAGGGTATGGCTTGTCCGTTTGATGCCACAGGACAAGAAGGCACTAAATGGTCGCTGGGTGTTTGCAACCAAACCTGACATTGACGGTTCCGGGATCAGATTCAAGGCGCGTTTTGTGGCGAAGGGGTTTACGCAGGTCTCGGGTGTCGACTTCAATGAAACTTTTGCCCCAACAGCGACTTTTGTGGCCCTACGTGTTCTGCTTAGTATTGCAGCTGCTAACAAGTGGCCAGTTCACAGTTTTGATTTTGTTGCAGCCTACTTGAATTCACCAATCGATGAGGAGGTTTGGGTCAAGCCGCCGGAAGGACTGGAGGTGCCGGCAGGTCACGGTTTATTGCTTCAGAAGGCTCTGTATGGGACGCGTCAAGCTGCTCGTTGCTGGTGGCTCCATCTACGACAAGTTCTCAACAAACTCAACTATGTTCCTTCTCAATACGACAACAGCCTTTACATCCTGCGACATCCTCAAGAACACGGTGTCATATGGATCCATGTGGATGACGGGGTAGTCACGGCTTCAAATGAATCTCTCCTGAAGAAACTGGAATGCGATCTGAAGGACATCTTGAAAATCAAATGGTCCTCTTCCCTAGACTTGATTGTTGGACTAAATGTGGTAAGGACAGATCGGGGATTTTAGCTTTATCAAAAGGATTTGATTGATGGTATTTTGGAATCGGAGTGGGATGGAGTGTCATTGGCAAAGACCCCATTGCCGACTAACTACAATGCGTTGACTGACCCAAAAGGTGATCCTTCCATGACTGGAAAATATCTGTCTGTTATAGGTTCTCTGAGTTATCTGGCTGTGGGAACTCGACCCGACATCTGCTATGCTGTGAATCTTCTGGCCAGGTTTGCAGCAAAGCCAGGTGAAGTCCACTGGAAGGGAGTACGCCACCTGATCAACTACCTGGCGGATACGAGGAATCTTCGGCTATCAATATTTCCCAAAGTCGACAGCAAGCCCCTGAAAACATACTGCGATGCCTCATGGGGGGGAGAGTTCTCAAGGTCCGCCTATGGAGTTTTCATGACGGTTTTCAACTGCCCTGTTCTTTGGGTGGCTCGTAGGCAACAATCTGTGGCGTCTTCGACATGTCATGCTGAATACATGGCGTTAGGGGTGGCGACAAGACAAACACTTTGGGTGCGGCATCTTATCAAAGATGTTCTGAAACTTGATTTTGTAGGTCATTTGCACTGTGACAATCAATCAACAGTACGTGTGGCCACGGACGATGCTTCAAATAAGCGGACCAGGCACTCCGACAGGGACTTCTACATCACCAATGAGGCCCTTTTCCAGAAAAAGACAACACTATCGTTGGTTGGTACCAAGGAGCAATTGGCAGATGTTTTTACCAAATGTTTGTCACCAGAACTTTTCAATGGTCTGCGTGAGAAGATTATGGGATGCCTATAATATTTTTTCCTTTTATTCTATTTTCTTGATAGGGATGTTATTGGTTTTTTTTGAATAACTGGTCTCTACAAATTGCTTAGTTCACGTTTTTTTTCTCTTTCTTTTTTGTATCATATTTCAGTCTCTTACCTTTTGTTTTCTGACTTAAATTGTTGTATGTAGTAGGGCGTCTGCGGCGAGAGGGGGGGTGTTGTAACATTCCTGTTACATGCCTCTGACTCGCCGCAGCACGGCACCTGAGAGGACTCGGGAGATACCTCCGAGGGACTCTCGTAGTCATTCTGCACGGAACAATACACTATTATCAGTTTAGGTTCCTATATGCACTACCAGCTTTACAGACCCAAGCTGCTGCGGCACACACCGCTGGTCCCTTTTGTAGGGTCTCTATCTGCTCCCGGTGGTTGACTGCCCTCCCCCGAGCATATTCTTCAGCTATTTCGTCAAAGAACCCCATCCCAATCATGGATCGACTCACAATTCTTCAGAACATGCTTACCACGCAGTCCGCCGTTATCGCGTCTTTGACTCAATATCAACTTGCAACTCTTCAAGGTGGCACGGCAATTATTCAAGAACAACTGCGACAAGAAGAAGAAGAGGCGGCTCGTCCAAAGAAGCACGGTGGATCAAGAAAAGGTCGCTCAGCAAATATCCGACGTGATTTTGAAGCTGGATACGCACGATTATATCAGAATTATTTTTCAGAAACACCGCTCTACAACGACTACCTCTTTCGGCGCCGATTCCGCATGCACCGAACTCTTTTTATGAAGATAGTTCATGATGTTACCGAATACGATAGTTATTTTGTTTGGAAACGAGATGCGGTAGGGAAACTGGGTTTGTATCCCATCCAGAAGATTACATCGGCAATGCGAATTCTAGCTTATGGAGGCGCGGGCAACGCAAATGACGAGTATCTACGTATAGGAGAATCAACCTCGCACAAAAGTCTCAAACATTTCACCCAAGCTATCATTGATGTGTATGGCGGTGAATATCTTAGATCACCTAACGAATCTGACGTTCAGCGCTTATTAAAGATTGGGAAATCACGAGGCTTTCCAGGGATGCTTGGCTCCTTGGATTGTATGCATTGGGAGTGGAAGAACTGCCCAACCGCATGGGCAGGGCAATTCCAGGGAAAAGAAAAAGTGAGTTAATCATGTTGAATGGTGATCGGTTTTGCACTCATTATTGACAATTCTTTCATTCTTTCAGGTGCCTACCATTGTTCTGGAGGCCGTTGTCTCCCAAGATCTGTGGTTTTGGCATGCCTTCTTTGGCATGCCAGGATCTCACAATGATAAGAATGTTCTTGACGCCTCCCCTTTGTTTCAAGAACTCCTGAATGGAGAAGCTCCCTCCTGTACTTACTCAATCAATGGACATACCTACAATCAAGGATACTACCTCGCCAATGGGATCTATCCTGATTGGTCCACTCTAATCAAAACAATATCGCAGCCACAGGGGCTTCAGCGGAAGGTTAGGATAGTTTTTTTGAGTTGTTTTTTGTTTGTTTGCCAATGCTAATCTGTTTTAAATCTTATAGTACTTTGCAAAAATGCAGGAATCGGCTCGAAAAGACATTGAACGAGGGTTTGGTGTGCTTCAAGCACAGTTCGCTATAGTAGCACGGCCCGCGCTGGCTTGGACTCACGAAAAACTTCAAAAGGTCATGAAGGCATGTGTCATCCTCCATAATTTGATTGTGGAGGATGAGCGAGGGACGCCTCACGACTTCATTTACGATCAAACATCTCGCTCGGAGACTAGTCGGCCAAACGCTTTGCGATCCAAAGATTTATCTGTTTTTATTCAAAATTATCGACATATGAGAGACCCGACGAATCACTTTGCTCTGAGGGATGACCTCATTGCCCATTTATGGGCAAGGAAGGGGCAGTTGGATGAGGAGATAAGCGAGGAGGACGAGCCCCTACCACCATTTGGTGATTCTAGCGACGATGCAGACGAAGCGTCCGATTGATTTGTTTTTTCTTATATGTTCAGATTTGTTCAAACTAGCCCCTCATCGATCTTATCAATTTATCCATTGTGAAATAAAATGGTGCTTCTTCTCTGAGTCAACGGCCATCTGGCCTTTTTTTTTCTAAATTTTCATTGCTTTTCACTCAGTCAATTTACTATTGGCTTGTCTCTAACAAACTGAGTGAATTATGAAACGAGTGTGTGATTGATGCATTGTAAAATGAACTGTCAATGGCCATCTGGCCTTTTTTTTTTTTGATTGCTTTGACTCAGTCGATTTTAGATTGGGTTGTCTCTAACACAATGAGTGAATTATGAAACAATTGACATAGGAAATGCAAGAGAAATGAAAAAGCCAGATAGATGGAAATGAGAGATATCAACAACCGACTACGACACATGATGAAATAAATAAAATTCAGCCTGAAGATGAGGTGTTATTGGAGGTGTTAGTTGAAGATGGGGTGTTCAAAGTGTTAGATGAAGCCGACTCCTTTTCCATCCTCGCAAGAATCTTCGCCTGCTCGAACTCATAGAATTTCTTCATCGCCTCGCTCATGCCGGAAAGGTCCTTGCACATAATTGATTCGTCGGCCAACCGATTCATAGCCGCTTGTTGAGAATCCAGAAAGGCAACTTGTTTCTTTGCCGCTTCGGCAATATCGCAGTGAGCCTGGGCCATCTTATTCAGGCTCTCTTGGTTTTTTTTGGAAGTGATTGCGGCAGATAGGTCTTCTTTTGCCCGTTTGCGGCCGATTGGGCGGGTCGGGGGAACGCTAGTCTCATCTCCTGATGAGTTGACCGAAGTATCCGTGCTAGGAACTTGACTTGACGATTGAGTTGATGAGCTGGCAGGAGGAGGACCACTGTTGGGTTCCTTTCGCTTGTTTGAAGGATTTGGCTGCTCTTTCTTCTTCAAGTCGCGGCAGTAGTCATTCCATTTGGGGGAAGAGCAAAGAATTTCATAACATCCGAGGAAAGTGAACGGTTTATTGTAGAGCTTGGAATACAACGACATCGCCATCGTAAATCGGTTGCTGGAGTTCGTACCGCTCGGATTCATGTTTTGAATTTGATTCACACATCCTGCAAACTTGTTCACCTCCCTCTGGATCCGATCGCTCCAACGACTTTTCAGGCTTTTGGCTGTTCGGCCAGAGTTGGGCAACTGAGTTGCAAAGTGTAGAGCGACCGTCTGCCAGAAAGCGTTGAAAGTCTGGTCAGTGCCTTTCTTCGGATCCTCACTGACCTCGACCCAAGATTTGCAGAGCTGAAGGTCTTCTGATTCAACGTAGCTACGGGAGCGACCTTTGGATGTCGAATCTTCTCCATCGGTGGTATCGGTGGTTTTCTTGGTGGTCTCGCTGGTTTTCTTGCCTTTTGGTTTTCCAGAGCTTTTGGGGGGATTCGGATTACTCGCTTGGTTCGGATTGCTCGCTTGATTCGGATTGCTCGCTTGATTCGGATTGCTCGATTGGATTTCAGTGATTTCTGATGAGGATAACAGGTTGGGATCAAGAATGGGCTCCATGGTGGTTGGTTTTTGGGATGATGTGTTAAAGAAAATAGGGGGTATCGGGGGAGGTGGAGTGGTGGATGGTTGAACTTTTCACAGGAGGAACACAGGAATTTTGTGTGAAAGATTCAGAACCGATGTCCGTATCCAATCCTCTTATTTGGGGATTGGATACAGCCCAAGGATCAAATCTGCAAAATAGGGACGCAGATACGGACTGCGGTGGGAGGGTATTTTGGGGTCCGGGTCCCTAAACGTGGGATAGCGACCCGATTTAGCGACCCCCGTGGAGTTGCTCTTACACCCAACTGCCGCCAAGCAGGTCCGCCCGCCCCGTCAAGGGAGCCAGAGACCCTGCGGGGCTTCCCTCGGGGCTCTCACTCGAGAGGCTCTCTTTTCTCCAGTCACTTCGCCCCTCTTGTCCTTGGCAGTCCAAGATCAGCTTGATCTATTGAGCTCAACCAGGCCTCGCAACACTTGCAACCATGGGGCACAACGCTTTCATAAATCTTTGTTTTTGGCGTATGCATGTCCCACAAATCTATCCAACTTCAAAGTCCCTCTAAATTCGGAGAGGGACTTAGCATATCTATGTGTTTGTATTTTTCTTTCTTTTTTTTTGGTTTGGACCCAGACACACAAACTAGAGAAAAGAAAAGAACAAAAAAGAAGGCCTGGCGGGTGAAGTATTGAGTTTTGTAAGAAAAGCAGATGATAAAAAGGACGAATATAAAGAAAAAAAAAATCAAGGACGAGTAAAAAGGAGAGAGTGTGTGTCTAGAGAATCTAAAGATCGAACGAGAACCAGACCGAAAAAAAGACCAACAGAACCACCCAAACCAAGCCAAACAATCTACGAAGCCCACTACAGAGAGGAGAAAGGATATTGTTCTTTTTACGCCGACGATGTTTAGAGAAAACAGAAGAGGTGCCGGTGGAGTGAGAGGGAGAAATGAAGCGATGATTGATGAGCCAATTGCGCAGTCTTTCAGAGAGTTGATGGCCCAAGAAGAGCCGAAGCAGCTTAAGAGAAAGGTGATCCGAAGAAAAAGAAGAAGAAGAAGATAATGAGGAGAAGGAAGGGATGGAAGAAGAGGATTGGAAGCGACTACTAAGACTCCGACCGTAAAGATGTGTAGGAGGGTAAGCATTAGGGCTGTGGTGATGGCTAGGATAATGTGAGGAGAGCTCAGTAGAGTTCTGAGTGAGTTCGACGGATCTGCGTAGTTTGTGGGAATGGTCGAAGGGGAGGGCAGGAGAGGGGTGAGAGAAGCGTTGGTCGTCGTGTCCAGAGTCGACCGGAGAATGGTAACTGAGCAAGCCCGAGGGGGAGTGGAAGCCGTCGCCGTGGTCGATGCCGAGGCCGATGGCCAGGCCGAGACTGGCGCTACGTCGGGCCCGATGGCTGGCGAAACGGGGGCCCGCCTCCTCGTCCGAGCGAGCCTCGTCGGCAGAGGAGGAGGAGGACGAGCTTGAGGAGATCGGCTTGGTGAACATGAGCGTCCGGGAGAGCGACTTGCGATGTCGTTGGGCCCGGTGGTGGATCGGCAGTCCGTTGGTCCGCGCTTGCTCCCGACTCGTCCCCCCTCTCGTCCTCCTTCTGATCCTCCGCCAAATCTCCGGCCCAAAGAGCACCACCAGACTCATCAGGAGCAGCGGCAGGTACAGATGGGTGTAGATCCTGATCTGGTTCGGTAGGAGACACGGCCGGTGGAATGTCGTCTGCTCATCTGGCGCCCGCCCGAACCGCCCCGGATTCGATAGCGTCACCAGTTGGTAACCTGGCTCTTGGACTCCCATGCCCATCGAGAATGACTTGACTGAGATCTCGTGGATCGAGAGCGGTGATGGATTGGCCAAGGAAGTCGATGGAAGCGTATGAATCACCTCACAATAATCATGGTCGTCACCACTGTTCAACATTTTTCTTTATTTCTTAGCTCCTTGAATTATCCTCTTTTTTTTTAGTCTCTGGTGTGGATAGACTGACCTGAATACCAAGCTGGGTTGAATCTTCTCCAAGACCATTTTCGTTGCCTCTTCCGGGATCTCATTCTGGTAATTGATCCCGGCGCCCTGCCGGATATCTCGTCGAGACTCTCGAAGTGGTCCACACGAGGTCCCTTCTGGTCTCCAGAGTGGCACATGAGTCAATAGGACCTTAGGTAGTAACATATCCGCTATGAAAAAATAAATAAGTATCAAAGTTAGAGGAGCAAGTAGTTTTTTTGAACTCGAGGGTGGGACGAAGTGTGGCTTGTGAATAGAGACTGACCTCCAGCTAATTCCTTCACGAATCGAGTGACTTGGCCATCTTCCTGAGTGCTCAATCCGGCGGCCCTTCTCTTAGATTCTTCGATGAGACTTAAAGCGTCGATCCAGATGATGGTATGGTTAGCCCATTCTACGTGCCCGTTAAGTAGACCAGGAGGCCAGGTGTTCTTGAACCGTTCCCTGGCCTGTGCGGATCTTTCATATGAGGTGGATGGGTATAGTCCTACGTCATGGTTCCCGACCAGATGGATCAGACGGGCTGGTGGCTCGGTTTGGTTGCTGGTAGGTGCTGACGAGAGATCTGCTGGGATTGGAAAGGTGTGGTAGAACCGATCGACATAAGTTTGAAACCTGGAAAGAATACAATAAATCAGCAGACGCTAATGTAAAAAATATAAACAGAAAGGATGTACTGACTTGGCTGGGTCGCTGGCAGCAATTCCGCCATCCAATAGATCTCCGAGGAAGACGACAGCATGCGGCTTGGTATTCTTGATGAGTAGTCTCCAAGACTTCCTGATGAACTGGTCGATGATCTTGATACTCAACCAACGCAATGGCAGGATCCTATCGGGATAGGAGTAGTCAGTCGAAGGCAGTTGAGGGTCGGCGATGATGAGGAGATGGAATGGTTCAGTTGTTGTTGTTGTTGTTGGTCTTGGCCATTGACAGCTCGAGATCGTTCGATCGAAGTAGATCCATTCCCCCCAGACGATAGTGATTATCCAGACGATCCTGAGTATCAGTAGGCTACGGTCCAGTCGACGAGGATGGTAGATTGGTTGTTTCTCGGCTCGACTGGGTTGGTGGGGAGACATCTTCTGCTGTTAAGGCGTGATTGAGTTGTCGTTCCGAGGGTGGCACTTCGCCAGGCCAGCCGCAGGAGCAACTGAATCTAAATTACCACCTGCTTCACCTTCTTCTACTCAAACTCACATCTTACTCTAGTCAAATCGAAAACCTTTCCTCAATCAACAAATCCATCGCCACCCATGGGTATTTTATATGCACTTTTCCTGGTCATGAATTGTCATTGGTAGCATTTTTATGTAGTCCCCTCTCAGGTATTAACATTAACTTGATGTCGTTTGCCTAGTGATAGTCTCGACTTCAACAATCAACAATATCCTTCTCCAACAGCTCGCCGTGAAGATGGTGTGTATGGTTTATCCAGCAAGTATCAAGAATTTGACGATACAACCAGCACACCCTCTCGTACTTTATGGAGCCACATCATAAGTGAAGCCTCACACCAGCCCACCGCTTATGAGACTCCGGAAACTTCACACGATTTCATCCAATTTTCCGCCCCTTTCCTGTGTGATCAATACTTGGTCAAGCTCAAGGAGTAGTCGTTTGAGGAACTGGCTGAATCCGAGGCTGGTTGGAATCATACTTTCCGCCATCACAACGCTGCGATTCTTGAAGGCATTTTGGAAGATCTACAAGTGAAGAGCTAAACGATCGTAGAAACACCGCTCCAATCCATTTCCCAGAAATAACTAGTATGTAACCATCGGCCAAAAATCAGATCCAGTCCGCACTCAGATCACAACCATCATTCTGGATTCCCACCACCTCCAGCTGCTCTTGTACCAACGAAAAATGAAAATAACTTCAAAAACGCAAAACTCATCACGATTGCCACCTCGCCTTTCAAAACACCGCCAAAAAAAATACTCCTGGGCGCAATCTCAAGATACAGGAGCGAAGGGATTGCGCCCAGGAGTATTTTTGGCGGTGTTTTGAAAGGCGAGGTGGCAATCGTGATGAGTTTCACGTTTTTGAAGTTATTTTCGGAGCGAAGTCGCCTCTTCCGTCAACATCACCTGATCCGTCCCATTTCTAATGATTTATATCATCAAAATCAACTGGAGACCACCAAGATCTTTCATGGAACGCGGCAGTCTTCATTATCATCTTTCAACCAACAATGGGATTCAACCAGCCTTTGGCCGCAACGAGTTCTCATATGCACCCGCGTTCTATGCTTCAAGTGATCCACAACAGGCATTTGAACATCCACTCCACAATCATCTAGTAGGTCCAGGCACCAACGAGACAATTGATCCGATTGCGGTGTTACAGGTTGAAGTAGCAATTTCAATATTACACGGAAACCGATCACCAGGAAACGAAGAACCTCCGTTCAACGTCTACCGATTTTTGAAGTACTCGCAGCCAAACTTGACCGATTAGCAGCAGTTTTGTGATCACAACATGAAGGCAAGAAACTCTGAAAACCACGACTAAGATCTTGTCATAGGTCCAATCTGTTTGCCATCACGGTGAGGTGTCTGCAGATGAAGAACTCCAACCACTCAGATTGCCTTTTGTTCCAGAAGGTCAAGGGTTTGGCTTGGCAGACAGATCAAAAATATATATCTTGAAAAGCCTGATCCAAACTAATCACACATCCCAGCTTTCTCCTCTAATAGCTATGTACTGTACCTATTTTCCATTACTTGTTCACTTACCAACATCAATATACTGTCTTATTTACAATCTTCATTCATGATGTAGGATCATCATTCATCCTACTCATCCATCCCATCATCCTCAATTCTACACCTAAAAGTTTTCTTCCATTCTTTTTGCTTCCTATGCCCAGACAACTCTTACTCACTGCCTTTTCAAAGAAGCTCGGAACCATTTGAAAAAACAAAACTGTTGTGGCAGATCCCATGCCTTGGATATAAAACTGTGATTTCACAGGTTTGGGTTTGGACTTGTATGCAATCCAACCCAAGACCTGAGACTGCAATCCAGCCTTGATTTATTTCTAAGAAGAGCTCTGGCAAATTGAAGCTTAATTTTGCAATCAGGGTGCAAAGTTCACCCTGAGCCATTCTGTAATGATTTAAATTTCTCTTTATCTTTTCGTTAAAATAGTTACAGTAATGCTTTGATTCATTAGCAATTAGGCTAATGATCTTATAGAATTGATGTCATAGTTAATTACGCTTTGTTTGTCATAGCGTTATAATTGTTCTTGTTTTCATTATTCTTTTTCTCTGGATTGTTTTGTATATGATGTTGGGATCTTTGTACGATTTCCCTCTCTTCTTTCTTTCCTTATCGATATATTTTTGTTCTTTTATCATCATCATCATTAGTCAATACTAAAATAAAAATCCAGTTTCAAACTTATAACTCTTCCTTACCATTCAAGTTCCCTTTCAAGAACTTATCATTAAAAGATAAGTTACCCTTACAACTCTTAATATAGACGATATCTCCTCTTGGAGGTATTCATAGTCATTCAAGAAAATAGAGTTGTAGGCGGCTCCTCACACATTCCCACCCCATATGTACCTGGCCATCCCTTGCCACATCTGACCAGGCTGGGAGGGGAGTTCATGGCTGGGCATCAGGTCACTGGATAGGGTCCAAGGAGGGAGAAGCAAAAGGTGGGATATCTTATCATGGAATCATAAAAAAAACATTTTAATGCATAACAATCATAAAAAATTCAAGAGGTTCCAAGCTTCTCTGAAAATACAATATGGGCATTGGATGTGTGCATCCCAGTTAGTCTGGGATGTGTGCAACCAATTTAACATTGGTTGCACACATCCAATGCTATCCGCCTAAGAGCTGAAATTGGTGTGGTCATTATCCTGTGTATGAAGGGAGAAAATTTAAAATTTTATTGTTTATCAATTGAGGACTCAAGATATGACTGATGGAAGTCAGAAATGGAATCTACGGCCAATTTAACCTCGAGTCACTCACTGGAACCACCTTCATATCTCTACTGGATCAGAAGTGACACCAATCAAGGATGTCACACAGAGAATCACACGGCCAGAGGTACTCAGTTGGAGGGTATATTGCATAATGCATATAGATTTCCTTTGTTCCATTGTGAATTCCTTTTTTTCTGACAAAACCACAAGTTGGACACCAGTTGAACTTGTTCCAGTTAAATTCCCATTTATTCAGCCACTTCACAGATGAATTCCTTTCTTACAGCTTGCATATAAAAGGGATGTGTGGCAGATAGTCTAGCCAAAATACCTCAGTATTTTCAGGGACAGGCCAGCACAAATACCTCACCCAGGGGGGTCCCTTGGGGCTAAAATCCCTCACAATTTACTATATAAAGAGGCCTCTGCCTGTCAGTTGTTTCCCTCCTCTCATCCCACTCAGCACACATTTCAGTGGGCACACCTGTCACAGATCACACATATTTGTTACACATGTGGTTTTACATGTAGTACAGTTCACCATTGAAATATATACACAGTTCAGTTTCACAAACATTAAACAAAGAGCCAGTCCTTTGTTGCAGTCCTGGTTGAAGCAAAGTGCTTCCAGTCCCTTTGTGTGGGGGCGGCCATGACATCCCCGGGTACACCAATGTGTTGCCAAGCGGGACTGGGTGTGTGCATAGAAGGGGACATTTTGAATTCTTTGACATCCAGAGGGACCAGCTGCTGGCTAGAATTGCTCCATCTCTCTCTTCAGGAAACAGATGTGATGGGCCATGGGGTACCATCAATCCAATCTTGTGGAGTCTGTTGGTTGATCATCAGACTATGTATCATCAAGGCCATCATCTCTTCTCATCAACAAATCTCAGCCTTTGTCTTGGTGTACCAGCACAACTGCATATTGACGCACCATCTACATAGATGAGCTCATCACCATCTCAAATCAAAATACACTCATGTCTTTCAGGTCTATATATTCTTTCAAGCAACATTTTTTTAAAAAAAAGCAAGAACATTCTTTCTCTTTCTTGTGGGTCATATTTGACATAATAAATAAAATTATATAAGGAGAAACACCAGGAACAGGGATGACTGACTAATCTGAACAACAACAGTAGCAACAACAGGAGAATGGAGAATAAGATTAACATTCACTCAGTATGAGTATTCGGACAACCAACCAAATCTATTAAGAAATCATTAAATAAGAGAAGTTTCATTGATTTGATCATATGATTTTGGGCCTTTTTCTTGATGTCATACATATCTGTACATATATATAAAACCCTCTATGTAGCCTTTGTTTTTTTTTGGGGGGGGATGTATGATTAAATCTACCAGGCCTGTTTCGGTGATAATAAAAATGATAATCGAGAGAAGAAGGAGGAAAAAAAGGAAAGGGAACACTCGATGCGTCTTCTCCCATGCTCTGCTTTTTGTTTATATCTTTTGTGCATGTATGTCGAATTATAAAGATGAGCCTAGTGGTCGATGATCGACAAGTTACCGGTCAACAACTTGTTATCCAAGATCTAAACCAACAAAACAATACTGCCAGTCAGAAATTCGTTCTCGCGCGAAGAAAGAGATGAGGGGGGTTGAAAAAAAAACACGAACTGTGCCATCAGGGATCTCAATCTTGCTGCCTTCGTTAGCCACGATGATCACAGTGCCTCTCAAGGTCACCTTGCGCCCGAACTTGACATCCCCACTGACCGTCAAATGATCGAGCTCCAACATGCTCGGGATGTTCTTGAATCGGGATTGGTAGGCGGCGACTTTTTTGAAGTGATCACCGAGCTTGACCACAGGGGTTGACTGTTGATTACCAAATCAGTTCAAGCACCTCACCAAACAATGAGATCAGTTCGACACATACCTGGAACATCCTGGCTTCATTCATCACCAGTCGACCGTGCTCTAGCTGGTACAAATCACTGGTCACCAGTAAGAGATCCGAGCAACTCTTGACGGGCAAGAAGCGGCTTCGAGGGACGTTGACGCCATGTGCATTCCTGAAGTGTTGGATCGCCGCACCGGCTGCGGTTTCGAGCTGGATGACCGCCTCGCCATTCTCGGCCACCTTGTTATTGACGATGATATCCAACTCCATCCCGTCCGATTCCATCACTCGCTTCAAGGCTCGAAGGTTCACCCACAAGCTAGAAGAAATACAAACCAATCTCTCAATGCTTCACACCCTCAAGCTGAGGGAAAAAAAGTTCATTTCCGACTTACTTGTTGGTGTTGAAGATCTTGAACTTGCGGACCGACTTGAAGTCTTCGACGTGATCGTTTGGAACCTGAGCGATTTCCAAGAGTCGGATATTACCATCATAGTTGATGAGCGTCCCACCCTTGACATCGGCCTTAGTTTTATCGGTGACTTCCATGATGAATTCGGCTTGAGAATCGATCATGTGTTGCATGATCTTGGTATCCAAGACCGCGCCCAAGTTGTCCGAGTTGGAGACAAAGATATACTCTTTTCCGGCTGCAAGCAGTTTGTCCAACAGTCCAGAGTTCGTGATCGCATCGTACAAGTCTCCATGTCCTGGTGGGTACCAGGCAGACTTGTCGCCCGTCGCCGTTCGTGGGGCTGGTAAGAGACTTTCACGGTTCACTCGTGGATAACGGGATTGGTTGAAGGTCATGATCTCAATGTTATGATTGGCATCTATGGAGCAAACAGAATCAAATTACGGGCCAAGCAAAAGTGGTGAGCAAGGATAGAGTTTTTAGGGTGTGGAATGAATGCGTTACATTTTTGAATGATCCGTGCAGTGTCATCATCGGTATTGAAACTGTTCATCAAGATGAACGGCACGTTGACTTTATGGGCCGAGTTGAGATGTTCGATCTGACGGACGGATAGATCCAAAAAGGTCATCCCATCCCTGACTTCGATGGCTGATTTAGGACCAACACAGCCCATGGTGGTACCCAGACCTCCGTTCAATTTCAATACGGCAAGCTATTAAATCAATCAATCTTGGGCATCAGTTGCGTTATTCCTTTCGTTTTTTGAAGAAGGAAAACTGGACAGACCTTGTCTAAGATCGAATGATCTGAGGTTTCTGGCAGAGTGGAATAAGAGACCACCTGGTCTGCGGCGGGAGGAGCGATACGGTCCCATTGACTGACATGATCGAAGCAAGATCAGAAAAGATGAGAATCTATATGGAAAGAGAGACACTCACAGTGGGGTGTTTCTGGCTTTCTCCTGAAGATATCGGCTGAAGAGCAAGAAGAAGCCTTGCATCTCCGCCTCGAACGCCTTGCGATAGTTTGCATCAGAGACTTCCTCAGCTAATCTCGAGAGCTCGTTGCGCATCGCCTTAGCGGCCACACCTGTCGTGGCTGATTTGAAATCCTAAAGGAAAAAACAGAATCATGATTGTGGTTAGTAATTCAATTCTCCTTCGTATGTTTGATGGTTTTTTTTTTTTATTTTCTATGTGTAAGGAATAGCACACGGGCATGGATACCAGGAGAAGGTTTGATTGGAAGATAGGATATAAAAAGGTCAAGTGGTTTCTGATTTGGTAATTGAAGAGGGGGCGAAGAGTGATGAGGATGGGGAGATGGCAAGGGTGGGTTTGATAGGCTTATTATATTTCATTCCCTCCCCCCCTCTTGGTCTCGCTACTCTGTGTGATGTCGGGAGGACGCTGAGTAGGTTGATAGATGATAATAACAAGTCTTAAGCGAAGGAAGAAGGGCATGGATGATAGGGAAGGGCTGATATGGTATGTGAATGAGTATTTTGCTTAGTTGAGGATGAGTTAGGCTTGGCTGGATGGGATGAAGGGTGTGGGTATTAGACTAGGAGGGTGCTGAGCAGTTACTGACCATTTGGGAGTGACCTCTGATCCGTTTGCCAGCATGAGCCTGTATGTTTGGGCCGGGGGCGGTGAGTGAGGAACCGTTGAGAGAGACTTGAGGGGCAGCCATGGTCAACAGGATGATCAAGGGTGGAGACTGAAGAAAGGAAGGAAGAGATCAAGGAGGACTGCTGAGGAGTGGAGAAGATGGGAAGAAAGGGATGAAGGAATCCTATGGAGTGGTTTATGAGACTGACTGCTGTGCTGAGTCAGCTCCGATCGAACAAACTGAAACGACGATCATCTCATCACTTTCACATGCCATCATCATCATCTTCGGGGGGAAACAAACACTCACCGAGGCACAACCCAACTCATGACCACCCCTGTCCTAATCCATCCCCTTGCCTTGGAATGCAAACAACTCAGCAGGCAAGGGCTCTACTTAGCTCAACCAACCAACCCAAAAAACCAAGCGCTGAAGCAAACATCTTATCACAGCAAATCAACTGAGCCCATTCCCATTACAACCATCATCAGAGGGCGAACAAGAATCCTTTATAACCTTCTTGGCTTCCACTCATCATGTTAATCATTTGAAAGGAAATTGTAAACTGACAGTGCTGCATAACACGCTCACGTTCCTGAGAAGCTTTTGTAAGCAGTTGGCTGTAGATTAAGTTTCATAACCAAAACAAAATCAGGGCGGAACATAACGAGCGCATAGCTTGGGATGAACTGTTAAAAGCTTAGCACGCTTATAATCAAACGGTCGAATGCAGCTGAACCATATCTCGGCTATCTTACCATATAAGTTATATCGGAACTATAGGCAAACTGACTGGATTGATCAAGGGATCAAAAAATCGAGTGGTAGAACCCGATAAGGGTTTTACAATCTCATAGATAAGGATAGACACATCAACCTGAAGAGAAAAGAGATCAATCTACTTAGATGTTGCACATTTATATCTAGCCAAAGAAGGCCAAAGAATAATTTCTTAATAGATTTCTATTACTCGAGCCAGACAGCTGAGGTACTGAACGATGAACAGATATCTAACGGGATCTATTCGTTTACTCTTTTGAAGGTGAGAATATTATACATATAAACACGTCAAGAATGATCAGAGGATCTCAATGTCCATTGGCATTGATCTCAAGCTTCATCAGACTGGAAATCAATTGACAGAATTGGATTAAATTACAGTTTGCTTATAAGGAACTTGTTGCCACTGCTTGTCAAAGTACATAAACATGTTTTCTGTTTTTGTTTTTTGTTAAAATCCAATTGCACCACTTTCTCTCTTAGGGTGGTTTGCATTTGAGAATTCAAAATAATAATGATAAGAAGAAGAAGAAGAAGTGGGTCTAGAGTTGTTCAGAATCATCAAGATCTTTCCAGCTGGTCCAATTTCTAAAAGCTTAGTGATGATTATAAGACCATGGAATTTGACTTTATGATTTCGTAAGTTTGAATTGTGAGCCCTGCTCTTATAATGCACTTCTCATTTTTCTTTTTTTTTCAAGTAAAAAATGATGTCTAGAATAGCATAAAGTCCATCTGGCCCGTGGGCTGGTGCATGTTGGCCGGCCCCCCACCACCCTCGGCTGCCGGCAGGATTTCGTGGGCGGAACAGATGTCTTTTTTTATCAGTTTCACTGGTTCAGTTTCATTTGCTTGCCAGAAGAGGTTTCAAAGGCTTGGACAAACCTATCACGAATTTCTTCTGGCCATGGTTACATATTCCGCTGCGTGTTGGTGAAGGTAGAGGGTGATCCAGTAACTTTCTTTCCCCAGAACCCGGTTGTCTAATGATATAATATAACAACTTACGAATATCTATCAAACAACACGAACTTTCCTGGTGAATGGGCGCAACCTGGGTATGACAATGTTAGTTTCGAGGGGTTCGGTCCGATTCCCAAGACGGCACGAAACAAACACACCAGCTTCCAGTCGAATCTTGGCAAGATTCCTCTGCTGTAATGTTTCGAAAATCCCCGGGAGATAGAGACGTGTTACATGAGAATTGCAGGGTTACTTGACCACATAGATAGCAGATTTTTTCCATGCAGTATCAGTAACATCACTGAGATCACTACATAGCCCCCGTGCATCTGCCGCTCACGTGAACTTTGAAGTTGATCCCTCCCTCAAGAAAATCTCAAGAAAATCCCCGTCCCGCGCGTATTTTGACAGGCATCGAATCTTCGGGATTCATTGATCATGAAAACCCTTTGGCAAACCCCACTCATCTTCCTACCTTACGCGAGAAGTGCGTTCTTAAGCAAACCTGGCTCAGAGCCAGGTGATCTATTCAAAAACCCGCAAGAACAATCAGTCCGACTGGATCTGAGCCTCTCGAGAAGTGATGTAAACGACCCTGAGCTGGAATACTCGAGGTCTAATTCTCTTGGGATGCAGTCATTTTATCCACCTATTTCTCCCCAAGCTCAAGGTAAGGGGTTTTCTTTTGGTAGTTTTTCTAGATGTATAATACTCTGACATTTTTTTTCTTATGACTGCTAGCACATAACTATCCGGAACGCGATCTGCTAGGTTCTATGCGTGACAATGCGGAAGCCGATTACGGGTTTCAACACGGCTCATCATCGATGACCCCACCGAGGGAAATCGATTTCCTAGGTAAGCAGGTCTATTTTGAGTCTGGCAGCGTGGTTCATGAGGCTTTTGAAGTGTTTCTGAGGCAATATTTTGGTTGGGCATTGTAATTCGAAATCCACACAGGCAATTCGCCCAAGCGGAACTTCTTTAGTTATTTGTCGGGGGAGCTACCTCTGGCGCGAAGTCAGAATTGGGCAGAGAGCCGGGCTCCTTCTTCGGGAACCAACGAAGAGTGTAAGCTAGATCACTCGCTTGTTACATACCTTGTGAATTTCACTATGAGTGCAGATGCCGGTCACTAGGAGCGTGGATAGAGTAGAAGTCCACCATCCTCGCGATAATAACCTAGGGGGTGTAAAAACTAACATGAGCCGCCAAAATCATCCAGACTCTCAACCTCTTCTAAACCTAATCACGACTTTAGATAATCCGGGAACTCGGAGGAAAAAGCATAAAGTTACATTCACCCCATCAGAAGTGGCCACTGAAGATGTGGGCGGATGGACATTTCCAGGGGAAACCCACGGTAACGGCCTAGGTTAGTCTTACAAAAATCCTTCCTTGGTTTCATCAATTATCTTCGAGTGGCGTTTACAGGAGCATAGAAATAACATAAGTTCAACAAAAATTCCTCAAAAAGAAAACCATCACGATGGGCGGAACTCTTTAGGCTTTGGGCCTCAGTCACATCCGAGCTTATCCCCAGATCATCCGGGGGCCGTTAGGGGAAACCAACAGTCTGCATCTGGTAAGCCGGAAGGCGCAGCTCATATTTTGAGTGGAGAGATATCTCCCCCGGAGGACTATCTAAATAATCCTAGTTAGTATTATATCACCAACTCTTATATAGAGGCTTGTGAATCCCAGAATTTCTCAATTATCCAGTCATTATAAGCACTAACTAGAACGGTGTTACTTTTCAGGACTTGCATCACAGGAAAGCCTGAGATTACCTATGGATTATCCAGGAGCCCATCAGAAAAAACAACCGGTCGAAAATAGCAAAAACATGCCAGCATGGTTATTTACCCAGAAAGAACCCCAGAAAGAACATGATGGCAATCCGCGTCAGTATCACAGAGCCACTTCCTTTATTTCTACTTTTAATGTTCTTGTTACATATCATTCCGCACATGCCTCTGGTCAGGAGCTCGTTATCAAACAATCAAATTACGTCAGCTAACAGGATGGGGAAAAATCTTCAGAACGTACCTCTCCGTTAGATCGGGGCATGGATTTGGATCATCCTGGATCCTCGAAGGAAAAGCAACATATTTCATCCATTGGGCCGGCAATAGAGCCAGATGTTAGTAGGGAATCGAAAATCGCCAATAAGGATCACAAGACCGCCCTTCGTTAGTCTCGCCACATCATATGCTTGAATTCGTCTTGAAATGATCGATGTTCTACAGAATCTGAGAGAGATTGAGTGTTGATTTTGTTGAACTTGTAATCCTACAATTAGCTCCCAAAAGCTCTTCGCGTGCTTCCACGAGCCCGTCTTCTCCTCCCGGACCACCTGTGCAAGGAAAGCGAAATAAAAGAAAAAATTCGCCGGGAGACCAAAAAGAACTCTCCGAACTTTACGAGGCATCCATTCCACTCCTGAGTCTAAGGGAATGGATCTTTCCAGGCGACAAGCAGGTTTCTATCACCGAAGGCAAAGAAAAAGCTATTGAAAATACAGAGAAGCTCAAATTGACTACTTCAAAAGAAACTGTAGATTATACCGATGTAATGAATGCCAACGATATTTCCAACATCAAAGGCAAGACGAAAGCTGCTAAGAATCGAACTGGGAAAAAGGAACCACAAACTAGACCCAAAAGAAAAGAAAACCGGCTCACAGCAGTGCCCCAGAAAAATAACAGAGTAAGAGTATCGCCGGAGCTGTTGCTTGCAGAAGAGAAAATGCGCCGCTCATTCTATGAGCCGTATGACAACAAAATATGGGGATGGATTTTTGGAGGCACAGTCTATTATATGCAGGAAAATCATCAGGCTTGGAAATATGAAGAGAAGTCCAGTACCTCTAAATTTGCCGTCAAACTCGCTTCAGAAATATCCAAAACGATAAATCAAGGCAATCATCCTGGAGTCGATACGATTAGCAAGAGCGAACTCAATCAGAATGCTTTAAACTTTGCCGAGCTAATGTTGTCGATCAACTTGAGAGTGCTTTGGGCATTTGATGCGACTCTAATAGACAAAGAGTATCTTGCGGAGCATAATTTAATACAACAGTGGCTCCTTGGTATCCTTAGTCAACAACGAAGCCAGTCTGCGGGCTCTAGTTCTAAAACGATAAGCGTCGAAATATTTCCCGAACTTACACTAGAAAAGGTAGTAGACAATTTTGTTGGAGTACTCAGTTCCAAGAAGTCCGATATCCTGGTACATCGCTTGGTCAAGTTGCATGATTCTGGGCCTATCTTCTTGGGAGTTGCGTCTGAAAGCCAATTAAAGATGACCAAGTCAATAGTCACTCTGCTTGCTTCCTACTATAAATTGATGAACTCAGCAAAGTGGAGCGCATTATTTAAAGATCACGGCGCTTACTTGGGACACATTTCAAAAATTCAAACCGAGCATTATAACTGTCACTCTCAAAGAATAGCAACCCCGAAGAGTTTCATGGTGGCCATGAAGCTGCTGCCGTGGAAAGACAAGATGGAAAAAATTGATCAAAGCACCAGGAAGGCATTGATAACGAGCATGCGTGTGTCCACGAGTTCTAAGAGGGATGATAGGGTCCAGCCGTTTGATACTGGAAGGCCAGCCATCGTAGGTGACGAAGTATGGGCCTCAATCTCATTGATCGAAAGGGAAGAATGGTGCATAATCAAAGCCGATTTCAAGCAACTCAATCTAGCCCACAGCAGATATCAACCAGACAAGAACCAGTACTTAAGTCCAGCATTAAAGCAGTACGTCTCTCATCAGAGGAATTTGGCGGGGGTAGAATATTTGGTGAGGTTGCTCTGGGTTCTCAATTCAAGAATGATCGAAGTATTAGGTTATCATCTCAGAGACCCAGAATATTATGAAGAACAAGACCATATCCAACGAGAAATGTTTGGAATTCTTAATGAACCTACAAATCAGGAAGGATTACTTGAAGCCTTAAAAGAGAAAGCTCAAACCAAAGCCAAGAAGAACCAAGCCAAACCACCGGAAGAAACACCTGAACCAAAAGACGATTCTCGATCGAGTCAAGAGGAATTAGTTGCCAATTTGATCTTTTCTGGACTAAGGAATAAGGAAACTCAACGAAGATATGAAACCACTTTTAGGACGATAGAGAGAGTATCCAGATATGAGATCAAGATGACCCAAGCAGTGCTTGGGATGATCAAATACCATTACAAGAAGAAAAACATAGTGAAATGGTACAATATGTTCAAGGACGACGCTGGTTTTATGCTTGGATTCGAGAAATTGGCGGTAAGACTCCGAAATCCACACACTTATCGAGAATTTGTTGATGTCAGCATGCCATCAATGAGGGGAATGCAACTATTGCCCTGGGAAAGCACGATGTTTTCGACTGGTGCCCAGAGACTTACTGCAAGCTTTTTGTTAAGAAGAAAGCAGCACTTATAACTTGACTTTTTTCTTCTTCTATAAATTAAAGCATATGTAGTTACAAATCCTCGAATACATTACAATTTTTCTCTCTTTCTTCTTCCTCCTTTCTTCATGACTAGTTTGGTACAATTAAAGCTACATACACTGTGATAAATATTTTAATTCGTTTTCATGAGCACTTGAATCTCGGTATTTTTATAGAAATCTACAACAACCTTCACCCCAACATGATGTCGAAGCTTTAATCGCCATGACTCATGAGGCGATATTGCAATGGCAGGCGGATTTGAGGATATTTGATTTTAGTCTGAGTACAGCGCGGGCGTGTTTGAGTTTTGGACATGAATACTTATTTTGCTCCGCGCTGGAAGTTTAATCGGGGGTCCCCCTTGAGTGTGAAGGAACTTCACCACGAACGAACCACGAGAGAACCACGAAAGAACACACATCGGAAGGATGAGCCAGGCTAGGACGACCAGCAAGAAACCAAACCAGGAACCAACTCCGATGGAAACTGATCCACCAAAGCCACCTCCAACCGAAGCCAAGTACGTCTCATACACCCTACTGGCGGCACACGACCCACAGTTGAAGTACAATATCCTCAAGTTCGCTCCCTCGTCGAATCGGAAGATCGAGGTGGACTCATTCGTACAGCCGATCAAGTTGAATCGCAAGGATCCCTGGGCGATCAGAAAGAAGGCAGAGGAAGAGAAGAAACGATCGACCGAAGCCCAGGAGGAGAATGCTTCGAAGACCGGGGAGAATGACAATAATGATGATGAGAACGATAACGAGATGAAGGTCGATCAGGATAACAAGGCTTCTAGCACGTCCACTAAACAGGTCAGGGATGACTCAGTGATCGGACCTGCGCCTGCTTCACAGCCCAAGAAGAACCAACCATTCAAGAAAAAGACCAAGCAAGTCTTCATCGCCGCCGATCAATCAGCTAGGATGTTGAAGAAGGAGGAGTACCAATCCTGGTTACTCGAGGATGGATCGCCTAATGGGGAACGATGGGTGGGCAGGTACGAGTCTGCTGGTGCCGCTGCCGGCTCTTCTGCCTCGGCCTCCACCTCAACATCCACCAATAACGACGCTTCGAACTACGTCCTATTCCGCATGGACCCATCCGGGGAAGCTTTCCAAGTCATTCCCTGTCATAGGTTCTACAGATTCACCCAGCGACCCAATTATGATACTCTGGGTGCAGATGAAGCCGAAGCAGCCTACGAGAAGATGCAGAAGCCAACGACCAAGGAGGATGTCGGCCGTTGGTTTATGCGTCGTCGGGGTGCGAACCCTAGTAGTAGTGGTAGCAGTCAACCGTCCAAAACTCTCGATAACAAGACTAGCGGCAACGTGAAGCACGAAGGAGACGTCAAACCTACTTCGTTCTTCGACCATTCCAAAGTCTCGTTTGGGACCTCAAACAAAGTCCGATCTCAAGTAGAAATCCCAAGCTTCATCAACGGCCGTAGAAACAAATTCACTGCTGTGCAAGGTAGTAACTCCCGTCTTGATGATGATGAAGATAGGAAACCGAACTTTGGTCAAGAAGGCGACTTCGATGAGGTGGATTATGATGAGCAGTTCGATGATGATGAAGAAGGGGCTGGAAACTTGAATGATGAAGCGATGGAAGAAGACGAGCTGAAAGAATTAGCTGTATGTCACTTTCTCCCTCCCCCCTCGTTTTTTCCTTGATAGACCCCTCTCTTATTGTGAAATTACTTTCTTTTCAGGAAAAAATGAAGCGCGAGATGCTGGCTGCGGGTAAGGCGGGTGACGATGAGAGAGAGAAGGAAGATGTGGATATGGCTAAAGACGACTTGTTCGGAGAACGAGAAGATCTTACCAAAGAAGGCAAAGCGGTCAAGAAACTGTTGATGCGTAAGGGAGAAGACAATGTTTACGATAGTGATGATGAAGTGAGGAATCCATATGCCTCAGAGGTAAGATTCATTTACTCCAGGAGATGGTTAACTTGATCATAGTGTACTGGCGAACCTTCTTACTCAAGTTTGTGATTGCCATTTGGTCGGGTGAATCTTACTCGATTGTAGGAAGACGAATCAGATTTCGAAGAAGTGGTACCTCCGCCTCCGAATGGCCCCAGTCCAACCGACGCCAAGGATCCCGCCTCACGCTCGGGAACACCAACCCCCGGATCGCAGCCCGCTGGCACATCCAAGAGCATTGCCACCAAGGGGCCTGTAACTCAAGCGTCCAACTTGAAAGGGGACAAACCCCAAAGCCGGCCGCCATCTCGTTCAGGCACTCCCTCTCTCCCAAACCATTCGCGTACCAATTCGGCATCACACCCCGTCCATGGACATGGATTCAATGCCGGCCCGGCCAATCGCTCGCGAGCTACAAGTCCCCAGCTTCCATCATCACAGCTCGCATCATCATCAGCTGGACCACGTAGTCGTGCAGTCTCACCCGTCCTCTCTTCTTCGTTGAAACCAAGCTCGCCCATTTCGGCTAACGCGTCGACGACAAACTCGAATGGGAAACGTAAACAACATCCCAACGGTGCGATAGCCTCTAAGGAGAAAAAGCTGAACTCTGGACCCACGCCTCCCGGCAGGATCTCCTCGACCATCAGTGCCGCTCCGGACCAGGAGAGCGGGGTGATCACCAAGGAACAGGTCGTCACTCTCCTCAAGATTCGACCCCTGACAACTAAGGAATTGTTGGCTCACTTCAAGCAGAGGTTAAAGGAAGAGTCTAATAAAGTCATCATCTTTGCTATCATTAGAGAAATCGCAAATATCCATGAAGGACTACTCGTCTTGAAAGATGGCATTTGATTTCGGCTACTTGTCTTCCTCTTCTTCACCTTTTCACTCCGGCACTTCTTCTTTTCTTTCTTTCTTTCTAGTGGTATATACTTCTCCAACCAAAACAAAAATAAACAAGTAAAAACACATACACTACCTCCCTTCTCCCCCATCTCTTTTTGAATCTCTTGTTCCTTGTTCCATTTTCATTCATTTTTTCTTCTTCTTTGTCAGTATAATAGACGTTAAAAAAATCTAAACATTACAAAAAAAAAACCTGGACAACACAATGCTCCAATGATCCTTCACCAATAGAGTGGCCAGGGGGTGGTCTTGCAGCCTTGATTCCTAATTGGTCAGAAACAAACTATGACTGCAGTGTATGAGATGTGGTAGTCAAGATTGAAAGTTCTGGTAAAATCTATGAATGTGACACATTTGATTACTTGGTACATTGATCCTATAGTTGGTGGCTTTGATCACTTCATCTTCTTTGCTTCAGAGTTTGGATAGATCCGTATTTTAGATTAGCCTGCTGGTTGAGTTCCTACACAAAAGGGTTGCAGGATACACCTGTGTCTTGTATCCTGGAGAGGGAGTTTTGTCAATCAAACCCTTCAGTTCAGTTCCAGACTGAAGATTATGGTGTTGTTATCTTTGGTTTGGAACTGAAGGCAAGGCCAAGCTGGGTGAGCTGGATCTGATAGAAACAAACAGCTGGAAGGAGGCTGATAATTAGATGATCTTGATGTGTCCAGCACTTTGATCAATTAAGCTTCCTGTAAGATGCACAGAGGCAAGTGGGGAGCTGGTTGGTACAGTCCTGTCACAATTAGCTATTGGCACATGCAGATTCCAGTCTCCAATCTTGGTGAGGAAAGACAGAGGAGGCCGGAACTGGGACTGACCAGACACAAACTATGTAAAAAGCATGATTTAGGTTAAGGTTGTGACTATCAATAACTAGGTTAAGCTGTCTGTAAGTACATAGTTTATGGTCTAACATCTTTTTAATCTTGAATCTTTCTTGATCTTACGTCACTACACTAACCTCCCAAACTGTGAGTAATAAAAAAAATCATTCTAGTAGGTTTGTAGTACAACACAAAAGGTTATGCTATTTAATTTGATCAGAAGTTAAATTGTCTTCTGGTGCATCCTTACATCCTAGCTCTTTAGTGTAACCTTGGGCAGGTGAGGTAAAAATGTTTGACACCCTTAGGGTTCACTGTCAAATAACCTGACAAATTGCCAAGTATCAACCATATAAACTAACATTCTGATTACACAGCAACAATCTTCACCACTGATCTTGTATACCACAGTGAAATCTTATCAATATGTATCTCTATCACTTGGTCACATGAGAGAGTGAGAAACCTTTTCCAAAAACAAAAGCCATACATGAATTTAAGAAAAGAACAGTCAAGCAAATCAAGAGATTAGGAAGACGTAAACACAAGAAATCAATATTTCAACTGATCCAAAGCAAGGTTTTCCTTGGATTGGATTATTGCCTCTAACTTCATTCTCTCTAATCTATTGATAGAAAGTTTTGATTGGGATTTCAGATTGGCTTGAATTTGCTTGAGGACCAAACCAAACCGGTGTGGTTTGCGAGCCAACGTGATTCTGAATGCTTGACGGCCCAACCTAGTTGGAGGTTTTTGTTGTCAGCTGACAGCTTTTTCATGTTGATACTTTACTCTATACTTCAAAGTAAAAAGAAACAGTGCTTACCAGATGATGTGTCTTAGTTTTATGTTGCAACATCCACCAACGTCCTTAACATATTTTTGCTCAACTTGTTTCTGAGTACAAGCAAAGAAAAAAATGAGAGTCTTTTCGATCACATCTGGCAATTGGGTGGATTTCAGCTTGCAAGTTAGTGAACACCACCATGAAGAATTGTATAGGCTCAAGCCAGGCCAGACTGACCATGGAAGAATTTCCAGCCTTTGAAAGTGTCAGCACCCCACTCAATCACATGTGCAACATATTTTGCAGCAATCAATCGGAGTGCTTGATAAACATTAAGCAATACAGTCGAGATTGAATTCAGTGTTGAATCAAGATATATCACATGGATTCGGACCCGGACAGATCTAAATACCCAGATCAAAGATGTCTCAGTATCTTGCAGCACTCTAGCACAAGGGGAGTAGAGCTGACTTACTGATACATCTTTTGGCAGAAATGCTGGCCAGGCGTTTTGGTTCTATCAACAGTCAAAGTATCAGAGAGGTCTAAAATTGTAATTTGTTGTGCAAAAAAACCTCCGTCAGATTGTGGTATCCTAATGTGACAAAGACTGATTGGGATCAACTCACGGATTCCATTGAATCTGGCCATTTCTGCTTTGAACTCCAGGGTTTTGGTATTGATCAGATGACCGCACCACGGAAACTCTTGAATGATTTCATAACTATAAGCTTCAAAATCATGTTTTGACTCCTTTGGATGGATTCTAACTTACCGTTCCCAACAACTTGTTTGACTCCTCCATATTTGAAGTTAATGAGTGTCTTTTCCATGGAGATAAAGCATCCGTATTCCTTACTTCCCTCGGCCATCACCTTCAAGAAACACTCTGCATCATTTTGTGAAGTTGTTATATAGATGAAATCATCTATCAATCTGACCAAGATCTATGCAAAAATTCATTGCATTGGATCAGCAAGACAGACTTGAAAACCATCCAATTTGATCAATTCTTGATCTATAGAGATGAGTGTACAAACCGAATTAGGAGTTTTTGTGAAGCCCAGCCGTTCTTTATCCATATCTGCATAAAATAAACTGGGATCAAGAAAGTTTAGCCAAGCTCCACTTCAAACCAAGCGCCAGAGAAAAGAATATCTACTCTGATCATGAATACTGACCTACACAATAGAGGCGACATGATTGAGCCCTGTGGAATACCGGTTTTCTGTTGATATCTACCTGCTCCAATCTTTCCAAGAACTTTTTGATCAATTATATAGTTCAAGTTCTATGCAAGGCAAAATAAAAGACAAACTTTTACAAAGTTTTGAGTGATGTGCTCTCTCAACAGATCCATCAGTTCCTGTTTATCCACGTGAGCATACTGAGCTTGGTCACATAAAAGTACGTTTTTCAGTGTTCTGGAGAGCTCAATTGCAAACTTGTCAAAGTCGGGCACTTCATCTATTTTGGGAGCATATCAGTATCACACACTGCTCTTTGGGGTTCATTGGATGAAAAATCAACTGACCACTTGGGTAAGCCTGACGCTTGAACTGCCTGAACGTCTTCTGTGGTCCGGTCCTCAATGATGACGTCTTGACATACTTTTGGATGACATATTGGTCCTACTGGTGGGTCTCCCAACATCAGATCCAACCAATTCAGAGTAAAAACAGATGGTTCTTGCCTCAGAGAAAATTCCATTGATGACTTCTAGTATCTTGTCTTGTTGGATTGAGTCAAAGCATGCTCGAATGTCAACCTTGACAAAATATAACTCTGGAAGAGAATCTCCAAACTGAGATCGAAACTTTTTGAAGCGAGTGTAGATGTGATCCAAACCAAGCACTGAGTACTCCATTCTATCGGGTGATACGTTCTACATTTAACAAGCAAGATTTCAGCCCAATGATATCAATAGATATGTTCAATGCTGACAGGATCCATACTTTCTCATATGATAACACCGAAAATAAATTTTGCAAGATCGAGTTGTTGGACAGGCCTGTTTGTGAAGAGCTTTTACGCTTGAGATTCACAATTGGTCTGACACCACTGTTTTTTGGCAGTAATCGAAGAAACGAATGACCAAGTTGTGACCGGCTATTTCCCTAGAACCAGAAGAAATCATCTGTCATAAGAGCCTATACAAAATCAAACTAGTCAAGGGGCTTACAACATTCTTTTCATCCACCTTGGTGAATAAAGTTGTCTTCAAGTACTTGATCAATGGATGGCAGATTTGCTCCCAATCATCCAACCGGAAATATAAGGTTCGATTTCGGAAACTTGCAGATTCAGTGACAAAAAAAGTGTTCTAGAAGGTAAAGGGGTAGGTAAAAAACCATCAACAACCACAAAATCAAAGTCAATCTTGGTAACTCACCTTTATTAAGCCACCAATAAATGAGAAATAGAACCACCACAGAAAATCATGAAGCATTGCTTCTGAATGATGATCCTGTGAGTTTCGAGAAATCCATTCATCACACGCTTTGAATTTAAGATTCTGGGCCAATTGATGTAGCGAGATCTTTTCGAACATGCGCAGCTTTATGATTAGGCGGATACCTATTGATGTTTACAATCTAGTGATTAGCATCTTTGTTATCTGAGAATCATCAGGAGGGAAAAAGGGCACAGACTGTTGCGAACAACATCCTCATTGTGCTTGGAATGCCAACCCCACCAATGTGATAGACCACAGGCGTGAATCATGGCCCAGAGGAATGTCTCCACCTCATGTGGTGTGCAAACAAATCGACTAAACTTTGGTGTGGGGGGCTTATTGGATTGAGATGGTCCTTGAAAACTTAACAGCTGTGTGTGACTAGAATCCACGCTCATGGAACAGTGTGTCGATTCTAATGAATGTCCCTGGATTGGTTCTGCTAATTCTATAAGGCTCAATCTTTCCTCCGCACTCACATTGCAGTTCACAAACTAGTCCAACAAAAAAAACTCTACATGAGAATCAGTTTGTATGTGCAAGAAATTGAAACCTAAAACAAACTTTACTTGGACAAGATCTATTGAGGACATGAATTACTTCCACACTCTTAGATTTGACCACAATCTTGTGAAGAAAGCCATTTGGTTGAATCAAGGGCTTTAAACGTCGTGGAGTTTTAAAATTTCTCAGTTTTCGAACGGCTTCTGAATGAGTCTCTCCATTAAATGAGTCCAAGGAATACTGTGAGGGAAAAATGTGCTTTGACAGATGGACAGCTTTGAGATGATTGTTTGAGAATGGGGTTGTATGGTCGTGTATTTGGCACAATACATCTGTTGGAAGGATGTAGGTGATTAGTGGTGAATTTCAGGTGCAGACATGAGTGAAGATGGCTGGGCTATTGATGACCTACAATCTGTTACAAAACCTATCTGGTTTATTCCTGTTGGACTTCGTCGTACTCGAGTATACATCAAGTCTTTCTTTGCAAGCACAACATCAACCAGTGTGTTGGCCTTTTGTGGCAGTTGTCCTTCTGCTAGGAATGGTAGATCAAACACTGGTTTCCCGGTGAGTTGAAAGTAACAGCTGTTACCAGTTGGATAAAAAATTGAAGTCTCCGTTAAAAGGTTCATCATCGGTTTTGTACCAATCCTGAATCACAGAGGGGACAAACTTTGGTTAGGTGGTGCAGCAATGTGGAAGAAAAGCCACAAGTCCAAACCTTGCCAGTAGATCAGCAAAGACATGCGATTGGGTGATAAATTTGTTTGTTGTCATGTCGGAGGCGACATATTTGGAGACCAGATTATTTGCATATGGTCCATTCATGATCGGGATCGCCATTTCAGGGTACACATTGTTACTCTGTGGAGAGATGCAAAAGTTAATTTGGGCAAACATGTGAGGGAGGGCAGGAATGCCAAGTCAGCTCACCAAGCGACATCCCAGGGTCAGAACATTTGACCTGCAAGGGTTTGACTTGAGCTTAATTTGGCTGGCGCGCCATAGCAGGATGGATTGTGCGGCTTCCACAAGCTGCAAAAAAAGACCATTCCAAGTCACGGGGTTAATATTTTTCTGTGATCTGGCTCAAGGGATGGGAAACCAAGGCAAACCTGGGGCATTGTCACATCATTCCCTCTCCCTTCCATAATTTGTCTCGCTGAGCTGTCCGTGACAGCTTTTGGGTCTACTTGAATGTGATCGCCTCTGAGTGGTATCACATGACCGCCAAGTCCAACAAGGGTCTCCTTCAAAATTTCGTTGTCCCTTCCTTGCTCAGGGAGTTCCAAGTAGTCAACAAGTGTTTTAACAACAGGGTAGTGGTTTCGTAATATGAGAACGGCCGGTTTGGTGCTGTTCTTGGGTTGTTCAGAGCTGATGCATGACTGTGCTGAGGCTGATTTCACAGATTCCATTCCTGGGCTTGAGCTTTTCAATCAGTCAGTTTCCTTGAAATTTTTGTGGTATGCGGTGTGATTCTCATTCACAGAGAAGGTACAACAGAATACAAAAGCACAAAGAAGGTATCAGCATTGAGTCCTTCTATGGTCACGAGTGGATGTTAAAGAGGAAGTTAAGTTTTAAAACATACAACTCTATCCGTGCGCAGTTCAATCGCAAAATCAAAAGTACAACGGATCAAAAAAGCACCAAAAAAGGGATCAGTATTGACCCCTCTTAAAGTCATGAAGACATATAAAAGATGAAAGGGAAAGAATGAAAAACACACATCTATTTGTGCACAGTCCAATTGCGAAATCAAAAAGGACAACGGATTAGGAATGAGAAACCTATCAACTATGACAAAAAAAGACAATGCGGAGAGGGGTCAGTATTGGCCCCTGTCTATGGCCACAAGAGGTTTGATGGGAGAGAGGGGAAAGATGAGAACTCACCGAGTTTTGTGTGGTGTCTAATTGCGAAAATCGGTGTGCAACAGGTCAGGATTGAGCAAAAAAGCGGTGTGAGTATTGAGCCTTTTTATAGTGATTAGAGGTTGGATGTGAGAGACGGTCGCGGATTTGAATGTCCAGTCTATTGGAATAGGAACACAATCAGGGGATAGTTTTTAATATTGGTCGGAGGTTTGGAATGGGAAAGGGAAGTGTCAGAGAAACGCACCTGGCTTCGTGAGTGGTTCGATCGCGAAATCAATCGTGCAAATGATTAAAAGAGGCCAAAGTAGACGGGTGAGTTCACCCCCCCGCCCCATTTATAGTGAAGATAAGATCGCAAAGAGAGAACGAATCCAAAAAGAAATTGGGACGTACCTGCGTTCGTACAAGCGTCAATCGTGAAATTGCATGTACAAGCGATCAAAACAGGACAATATGAGGGGGTTAGTTCGACCTCTTCTTGTAGTGAAGGAAAGAAGAAAAAGAGAGGAGGAAAGAACGAAAAACGTACCAGCGTTCTTAAGAACGGTTTTGAAGACTGACCGACCTATGCTATTCAATTGCGGTCACGCGGGTACAGCCTATGGGAACAGAACAAAAGAGGGTTAGTATCGGAACCTCTTTTTAGGAAAAAACATTTAGGAAGAAAAAAAAACTGACCTGATCTCCTTACGCGTGTCGATCCCGAAAACGATTGTACGGTCTATTGGTTTAGCGTTATTCGGCGGTCGTCTTTGGTCCTTCGATCGACAAGACGTTTCTACAGCGGGTGGTGAGTGTCCGAGCGGTTCGATTTTTGGCTGGGTGTCCGTGTTGGTGTGGTTGAGTGGTGCTTGTCTTCATCCACATTATCCACCCGGTCGGTGGACCCCGAGGCTACAGCGCAACCGCGCGCACCATCACCGCCGGTGGTCTCGAATCGACGCGCACCCGAGTGCTTGACCAAAAACCTTGGTGAAAGTTGAAACCGGCCACAAACCCAGGCATAGTTGTATCACCATCCAACTCTTCTCCTCTGGAACCCCTGAGACGAAATGGACATCTCCGAACTATTCACGGTGAGTAGCCCTGAGTGTGACTTAGTTCATGGGCTGCCCGCCACATACTCATCTGCAACTCCCAAACACTAGGCCCCTCCACCCAAGTCAGATCCCACTAAGAATCCGGTGTTATCCGATCTCAGCGAGATCAACGGCGGCTCTGCAAAGCGCAATCGGCAATTGGATGATCTGAATCAATCTGCCACAGAGCCCGGTGGGCTTGTTTTCTCCGTTTTTTTTCAAGCCTTGTGAAGCCGGCCCAACATGTGCATTCTGCTAATTCTTTCTGGTTTCTTGGGTGGATGAGTCAGTAGATATCAAACGAGCTAGGGTCGCATCGAAAGGAAAGCAGCGTGCTGAGGATTCCTTCGAATATTCAGAGAACTGGAATGTTGAAGAAGATGAAGAGGGCGGACGGTTCTTCGGTGATGGACTCACATCGGAACAGAAGGAAATAATTAACATCTTAAATCAGGATGTGGAAGACCAGAACGAGGCCCCGCCAGAAAATCCTGCTGGCTCGGAAAAGCTCAAACTAACAGAAGTCAAGAAAAATTGTTTAAATCTTGAAAGAGCTATCAACAAAAATCGAGAAATGCGCACCAAGTATGAAAACAACCCCGAGAAGTATGTACCGCCTACCATCACACGACCTTATTATTTCCCCCTGCTATGGTGTGATTAATCACTCTGCCAATATGTAGATTTGTTGACTCTGAATTTGAGCTATCCGAAGGCATCGTCAACCTCTCTGTCCTAACTCAATGTCCAGCCCAAAGTTATCCGGAGCTGGCTAGGCTTGGCACACTTGGTAGTTTGGTTGGTCTTTTATCGCACGAGAACGTGTAAGTTTCTTGTCCCCCCCCCCCTCTCATTAGAAAAAAAAAATGTACCATCAAAAAACATTGGGACTGATCACGTCCATGCGCTTATTTAATTAGCGACATTGCGATCGCGGTGGTAGAACTCTTACAAGAACTTACAGACGACGACGTTTTGGAGAACCAGGAAGATGAACAACCACTGGAAGATGTAGAAGGCAGTTCTAGCCTACCAGCCACCGAGGCCGTCATGGCCATGGTTCGCTCACTGATCGACCAACAACTACTTGAAATGCTCATATCCACCCTTGTAGACCGGCTCAACGAAAATGAGGAAGCAGAACGAAGTGGAGTATTTCATTGCTTAGGTTTGCACTCATTCCCTCCTTTAACTAAAGAATACTTGCACGTGATTTACTTACTCACTTGCTTCACTTGAACATTCTGCAGGATTGATAGAAAATTTAATCTCTCTAGAGCCTTCCCTGTCGGTCAGCTTTGTACAGAAAACACCCCTTTTGGAATACTTAATGAATCGGATCCGACCTACGAAGCCATCATCATCTCAAACCGAAGATATGGAGTCTTCGAAATTCCAGAATAAACAATACGCAAGCGAGATTCTGGCTATCATTCTCCAAAAGGACGAAGAGAATCGGACAAAACTAATCGAGCTGGGCGGAATGGATACTCTGCTTGAAGTTTTAGCAGTAAGCGCGCAGAGAAGACATTTTCTTTCAAGTTCACACTCTTGGCTGACCAAGAAAAAAAAAACTTTGTAATCATAGGTATATCGTAAACGTGATCCCAATGATGCAGATGAGATTGAGTTCATGGAAAATGTATTTGATTCTCTGTGCAGTGTTTTACTTGTACCAGATCACAAAGTCAAATTTTTGGAAGGCGAAGGCGTAGAATTGATGATCATCTTGATGAAGTGAGTTTTCTTGACACACTTTTTGATTTCCTTTAACTATAGCCACATGTCTAATCTTTCGAAAAACAAAATCACCATCACAAAAACAGACGTAAGAATTTGGCAAAATATCGAGCATTGAAAGTTTTAGATCATGCTCTGTCTGGCGACGAGGGTAGCGCGAATTGTGAGAAATTTGTCGACTGTCTAGGACTGAAAACGCTTTTTTCCTTCTTTATGGGCAAAGTAAGTTTGCTGCTGTCGTATTTGGTTGGGATTGATTGATCGACTGGCCTCAATTAACTTTTCCGAGTGTCATTTGAAACCAGAAAAACTCCAAAAAGTCGACGTCGACTCATGATGATGATGAACACATGCTTGGGATAATCGTCTCACTGTTTTTCAACCTCGAATCCGACACCCAGCTTCGATTGAGACTGTTGACGAAGTTTGTGGAAGAAAGTTACGAAAAAGTGGATCGACTGATCGAAATTAGAGAAGGTTTCCGGGCAAGAGTGAATCATTTTGTTGCGAACTCACCATTCCTGGAGGTAAGTCTGTTTGGCATTTGAATACTTCTTTCTACTAGTAGGGTTTTGTTAACTGAAAAACGCCTGTCCATGATTGTCTCCTGCTTCATAGAATGAGATGGACGAAACGGAAATCTATCTCATGAAGCTAGATGCTGGGTTATTTGCCCTGCAGCTAACAGATGTCGTCATTGCTTGGTTGTGTATGGAAGATGACGGAGTAAGAGATCATCTTAAGATGTTGCTGAAACGCAATGATCAAGACTTCGGCACAATTACCGACGAGTTGAGGGTATATGCTGATAGTATGGGAGATGGACCTCGCAAGGAAGGGATCGAACATCTTACCACTTATCTAGGATCGCTATGAAATGTAATCTCCTTGTATCTTTCAATATAACTTTATTTGGAACCTTAAGCATTACCCCCGAATATTCACATCCTTACCAGGAATGGTGGCTGTCTTGTTTTGTTGAACCCTTCTCTGGCCATGCATTTCCTCTGAATAGCTGTTTCATCTTCATGGCAGCTCCAGTAAGGCTCCGTAAAATACGGGAAGAAATTGGACGATCAGGCAAGTCGCATTCCACCCAATAAAGTGCATTTCTGGGGCACACTGCGGTTTCAGTCAAGCTGGATAGGTCACAAGGATGAATGTTCCAACAGTACTCACTTCCCTGGAATAACAAATCGATCGCACGGTGGGATCAATGAAATTTACAGCACAGAGGCAGACAGATGGGAGAATACCAACGTGGCAAAAGGCACCACCCCCACATCCGAAATGCAAGCCTCTTAAATACTGAACTCCAACTTGATCGTAGTCTGTAAACTGGAGCTCGGAAAACTTAAACTTATCTTCGCAAATAAATCAACTTTTCTCAGTCCCATATGTAAATCATCTGTCGTCTTAAACGGATTGAATTCACAATACACATAGTTGGTGTGATGGCGAACCCGCGTCTTCCGGGTCATTTTTAACTCGGCGATCCCTTTGATTCTTCGCTAGACGTATCCCTATGGAGGCGGCCTATGCACACTGGTCATCCAGGGCAGGACACTCTGGTGGAAGGGCGGTACAATCCCCTCAATCACCCGCACCAACCGGTCATCAATTGACTCCCCTCTATGGCCGTTACCGGCTTCGCCATTTTCATCGCGTCTCTTCAGGGAGGCGGCTATAATTTCTGAGAATTTATTTGCTCATATGAATAGGATTCTCACAATGTCATGAATTCGCCAAGGGAGGCTTTGTCTTGGATGTTCATCAAAGATTGATAGAGACAGCAGGCAGATAAAAAGCAGAAAACGAACAGCTAAGCAGATAAGTGAATAAATTAAAGGAGCTTTTTCAAATCTTTGACAAACGACGATAGAAGACTTTTTGATTTTGATTAATTTACTGCGTGGCACAGATTCTGGTGACTTGGTGATCATCATATTATATTAAAAATTCTTGATCTATGCTACTCAAATCCACTTCCGGCTGTCTTGGTTTATGTTCAAAGTCTGGTGACAGACCAATACAATCGAACAATATCCCGGCTAGTTGGAAAAAGTGATCTAAGGGTATTTCTTTGGGTCGTAGGCAGATCAACCAGCTCCGCAGTGACCTTGACCTTGTTGGGGCCAAAGATCGAATCCCACATCCTCCTCCACGACTTTCAGAGAAAAACATTGAAACAATGGCGATAGGACATGAGTGAAAAAGTGGTCAAACAACTTCGTAAGCGCTGGGTTTACCTGGACTTGTATTATGTGGCTCAGAAGACTCACCTCCGGGGAATGGACAAAGACCCTAGATTTTTGGAAGCAGCGCCAGGACCCAGTCAGATTCAGTTCAAAATTCTTGGCGGGAAAAAAAAAGCAGCTTACTTCGATTCAAAGCCCTTCGTGTAACCACCCATTTGCATGCCAAAGATCGCGCTCCCCGGCTCATCGGATAGTAGCATGGCACAGCGCTCGGCCAGAGTGTTCTGATGCGCCTCGTCAAACAAGTGGAATACTTGATTCAGAATCAAAAACTTGGATCGCCCTTTCAAAGGATTCAGACTTTTCAATGAACGAAGATCGATCCTCCCGGGCGAGACTTCCACAGGGGCAGAATCGTTCAAGACTTCTGGGCTCAGAATGTCCCCGAAGAAATTCGGGATCGGGCGCTCGGAATCCCTGAAGAGTTTGTATCCCAAAGTGTCCCAATCTAATAGAGGGGCAAAAAAGGCAACGACTTGTGAATGATCTGCGGAAGCTATGCGATGGCAAGAGTTTGAGGAGAAATATGTACCACTAGTTATATCCACGCCAAGGACATCATCGCGATTCCATCCATGAGATATGATCTGCCTCAAGTCAGTTCCCACTAGAAAAATAACACGTTATGCTTAGGAATCAAGCTGTAGAGGTCAGTCACAGTGAGCACATTATCACTCACTACCAGCGCCGATATCGAGTAAAATGTTTTGGGTATCCGATGCTTGTTGAATTACTTCCCGAACCATCGGATAATAAGGGTGCCGCACGATCATACCCTGGAGGAAATAAAAGCCTGTTCTTCTCCTTCAGCTCTAGTCGCGATGTTGAGAAAGATCAAAGTAGAGCTTACACAAGATACATGGAAACGGGAAAGCTTTGCAGCACTCATCTCGAATGGCAAGAATATGCGCCTTTAATTCTTGTGAATCTTCAATCAGCGTAGCAGATTTGAAAAAATCCAACTGTTCGCTCATGTGCGGATCATCCAACGGATAAGGAACCTCAAACCCTTTTGCCGATATTGTTGGCAGGTGCTGAAGGGCGGGCCCAAATCGGTCCATTTGGAATTCAGTTTCCCCCGGGATTTGATCAGCAACGGACATGGAGGCTAAGATTAAGAAAACGGTAAATCTACAGTGAGTTGAATAATTTTTTATTTAATTATTTATTTTTTGAAAAGGGATGCAGTTTATAATCTGAGGTCGGGTAATCGATGCTTGACTATGAGGGTAGGGTCAGCTCCCAGTGGAATGTCTCACTATAAATGGGTGACTCTCTTCGGTCTCAGATCTTCCATCCATATTTTACGCAATTCCAAGGCAGCGCAAGGTTGCGTGCTAGCACCTTGCATACCTGGAATTGTCTAAACCGAGATCTGAACCTATTAGTCACTCGGCCGGCAGAAGGATTGGGACTATCCGATTATTTGATCTCTGATGCCTGTGAGAAGAAGGTGTGTACATCGCTCGGTGCTGGCGAATTCAAGAGCATGTATCGTGGTTTCAGGTCCCACTAATAATTATAGGGCAAGTCGGAATTTGCGCTGGCGTAATCCGGCAGCTTCTCCCGGCGATCTGACTTTCACAGGCGTTCAGCCCAAAGAACTCATGCATGAGTCTTCTTCTCCCCAAGGGCCTACAATATTTTAGTTCTTTGGCGCGACGATCCTTTGGTTGTTGTAGTTCCCATTCAACTTCTCGCCATGTACTTTACTAAATTTTGATGTGCTTTAGATACACAACTAGCAGCACCAAGAAACCAAAACTGTATGCACCCCGGTCATCAAAAGGCATTCTAGAGAGTCATGATTGCTCCCTTGTTGCCAGTGTGCACAACTGGGGTTGCAAAGTGGCACGAGCAAAGTCGGATGAATCTCAAGTATAGCATTGCGAGCAGTGGAACAAATACATACAGCAGCTACCCGCGGGCACCGGTGGGCTTGCAGGCAGACTCTTGTGGGTGCTGATTGGGGAGCTGCAAGCTCACAATGGCCCCTGCCATACGCAGGTAATATTGATATCATGAACTCCTGAGTATGGGTGGTACATCTGTGCATGTGATATGACAGTCAAGTCCCCTACGCCGGGTTGGCGCCCGAAATCGCGTCGATCACGCTGATGACAGTACCCTGATAATCGGGATTTGCGCTTGAAAGAATTCTTACTGCCAGACAGCGGCTCAGCTGAATGGTACCACCACTGCCGATATGTGCTACTGTCATAGTCTATTTAGCGATGAACACAACGTTTGGAAGATGAGATTTTTGGCACAGTATCTTTAGGGGTTTCGCAACTTCAGGCGAGTCAAGACTCTACCAAGAAGCTGCTTGGTGCAATGCACGAGACAACTGTCAAGTGAATCAATCATCGCATCGGGTGACGATTTCTTATATGATAAAATGGCTAGATGCTCGCACATGACTTGCGATTCTGCAGTCCTGTGGATTCATCATGGCGGACCCTCAAGGAAGCCGGTATGGGTGGGTTCGCGGGCAAGTATATGTCGATATGCATCTTTATGATTGGGGCTACAGTCAAGAAAACGCAAAGGAACACTTGAATAAGGTCTCAGCTAGCATGTGGTCTACTAACATGTTGATCTTGGTAGAGGACTTCGGCTGCTTGTGCTGATCTTGGTAAAGAACTTCGGCAGACTTTGGCGGCTTGTTGCTTCAATGCTTGTCAAACTGAGGTCAGAAACTCAGAGAAAAACCAAATTTATATGATAGAGTTTCTGACTATTCCAAATCTACGCCAAGTTATCTTCTGGAGAATTGTTCATTTCTCTTTTTTATAACGCTTACAGAACTCTTACATACTGAGTAAAACTCACTACACTCTTTAGTTACCAAAGTTTCATTCCTTTAGATATTCTACAAATATAGAATGATTCCTTTCTATAAAAACCGGCCGTACTATGCTTCCCTTACGTCTCCGCAAGAGACTTATCTTGTTATTTTTATTTCTCACAGCAAAAACTAACAGTAACAACAGTCTCAAAATCCAATAAAACTAAAAAGTTGCAGTGCTGCAAAAGTCTACAAAAGCTTTGCAAAGTTGCTGTATTATTTACAGCATAAGTCTTTCATAAAAATATCACAGTAGAACAGTAGAAGAGTATATCCAATATTCTGTCATATTCCCTACCCAAGCTATCTGAGGAGGACTCTGCCGTTTCAGGTTCCTCCACACAAAACTATTCCCATAGGACCCAGTGGTTATCTCCCAACTTGTCAACTTCAACATCACATTTCTCATCAGTTGCACTCCCCAATACACAGTTCACCTCCCCAGCAATTACCACCCCATTTGTCCCCACCCGCATTCCTATCTTGTGCCTGGATGGCTTCTTCATCTTCATGCCCAAGGGCTCATTGACTAGGTAATCAAACACTCCTGAGAGCAACACTTTTTCATCAAAAAATTCTACAACAAAACTCAAGATCACAACAGCAAAATCAACAATTGCAAGTCAACACACCTCAATGGAAAATTATCTTTCAAACATGAACAAAAACAACTCCTCTCAAACCAATGAATCTGGAGGTGAACAAGAATCAAGACAGCAATCAGCTGAGCAGTGTTTGAATAATCTGGACTCTTGAATGGATTGTGTGGCAACATATCAGGAAACCCTTACTGGCATCATCAAAGCAAAGGAACCACCATCAACCAGCACAGCCCACTCTGAATTTTGATCCTATATCAACAACCACATTGTCAACAAATCCAAGACTTTTACAGTTTGCCTTTTTCAGACCTACTGTGGTTCAGCCCAATCAGCAAGAGGAAAATAATCTTCCCAATATGTTTGGCAAAAAAGGAGTTGGCAGCTTGCAAACAAAGAAAATTATTGATAGAGTAGTGTAATCCTCAATAATTCACTCTCTTTCATCAAGTGGTGAGCTTGGAGGATGCCTGAATTGAGAAATATAATTTTGAAATAATTAATCAGGCAATGTTAACAGCTTGGCTTGAGGAGCCTACCTTGTTGTGAAAAATGGCTAGGGTGCTTGATGCTCAATATAATTATCAGCATTGTCTAACATTCCAAACAGAAAAACTTTGACTCATGTTCTGTCAGCTCTGGGCTCTCTTCCTCCTCAACACGCCCTGCCTCTGGTTTATCACCACCCAAATTCAGGGGCTTGCACAAAGGATGCTATGGACATCAATGAACCTTCCTGGGTTTGCAGTCAAAAAACTCCTGAAAAGTGTTTCAAAAGCCTGTTCTGTATGGTTTGTCTTGCTCAAAGGTTTTTTTCAATACCTTCAACAAACAAACCCTCTAAGGGTCACAATGGATGCTAGGCAGAAGTTTTTTGAGACCCTCTAAATTATCAGTTGTTGCTTTGGTTCTCATCAACACAGGATTGATGGCAAATTTCATCAGCAAAAGGTTTCTCAAGAAAAACAAGCTTCTAACTCACAGCCAATCAACACCAATTTATTGTGTTGGGTTTGATGTAAGTGGAGGAATTAGAGGGATGGCAACCAAAGATTGGTCAGGGGACATCACCAAGTCTTTGGTGGACTTGTGTTGAAATTTTGAAGTCCAGACGAGTAAAAGTGAAGTTTTTTTAGGATGATGGCGCAAAAAAGTTAAGATACCTTTTTGGGAAAGGTTCACGGAAAAAGAATGAAAGAACAAATGATTTTCATTCACTGTAGTTAGGCAGGCTTAAATAGACTAAGTACAAGAGGTCAAGTTGTGGTTTTGAGAATGAATGAAAAACGTATCCTGAATAAAAAATTGAGAGAAAAATACAATAAGTTCTTGCAAAATAACAACCTAGACAGTACTTCTCATTCTCTTGTAGTAAAGCCAGATGATTTAGTCAAGAGAAAATATTTTAAGTCACAAATAACAAGAGGCATTGATTCTTATTGACCAATTTTTCAATATCAAACAATAAGCCAGAAAAAGGGGAAAATATTACCGTAGAGGCAAGGATAATTGGGTTGAGCTTATTTACTTATGGTTCAAATTTGACTCAGAATTAAACTCAGAAAAAACTAACAAAATGCTAATTGGCAACATTAGTCAAGTTTGGTTTAAGGTGATTAGAAAAGGAAAAGGGCAGATAGAGAAAAAGATGAAGAAAAATTCAACAACTTGAAGCCAGTTCTCATCAAGTGTTTGTTCAGGGTTAGCTGGCTTAGATCAGTCAATGTGATCTTTGGATGGTCTGCCTCTGGCAGTGTGCAACAAGGACATTGTCCCACCTTGGGGCATAAACAGGTTTTTGAGGTGGACTCTTTGTACCTTGGGGAGGATTTTAAAGGTAAAGTACCTCCCATATGTCGTGTTTTTTCCACCTCCCCACCTCTTCCCACTTTTAACTTACCTTTGGAATTCAAACAGTTTGCTGATGTTTTTTTCACCCACAGGATAATTGCACCCTGCCCCCGCATCAGGAGATGAATATTTCCATCAAACTGCGCAAAGGAGCTGTCCTCCATTTTGGGGGATTGTACAATTTGTCTATAGTAGAGCTAACTCAACTAAGAGAGTGTGTCAATGAGCAATTTGAAAAGGGATTTATTTGTGCCTCTTCTTCAAGTTCTGCTACCCCCTTTTTTTTGTGAGATTTCTGGATAAAAAGCTGTGCCCTTGTGTTGACTACATATATAGGATTGAATTCCATGATGGTAAGATATAATTAATTTTGGGTCACCTAATATTAAATCAACCACAGGGTTGTAAGTATTAAAAGAAGTGTTTCATCTGCTTAGATTGACAGAAGTGCATGAGTAGAAACCTGCTTTTTGCACTCCATGGGGGTCTTTTTGAATATCTAGTTATGCCCTTTGGGTTGGATAATGCTCATGCTTGTTTCCAGAAATTCATTCAGTATGTTCTTCCAGAATTTTTGCATGTCTTCTGTTTTGTTTACATTGTGGATATTCTTATATTTCTCAGATCCAAGACAAGCATACATCTCATGTGCAGCAGTTTTTGTCCAGACTACAAGCAACGATGGGCCAGTTACACTAACCATAGTGTTAGTGTAGCGGAATTCCGCTGAAATTTAGCGTAGCGTAGCGGAAATTCCGCCACCTCTTGCACTAACACTACGCGCATAGGCCCCAAAAAAGGGCCC